TATAGAGTTGGGTTTGAGCAAACAACCATGAATTGATCGTTCAATCTTCGACAGTATTGATATATGGTAACGTAGAACTCTTGTGTTTAGACGTGCGAGCATACAGTTTTCTGATGTTACTTCTTGTTCTACCTGAGGTGATGCAAGGTGAAAGCTGAGGGTAAGGCGGATGCTCCAAATCAGACAAGATCCCTCTAGCAAATTTATTGCACGAAGTCAAGTGCTTATCGACAACGATGTTAACTATGTGGTCCACTGGGACGCCATTCACCCTACTGACAGTCTTCAGCATTCTACGAATTGTGACAGTCCTTTTTAAGCAAACCAGGAAAGAATAAGGGTGAACAATAAAGAAGAATTGGCAGGGTGTAAGAGTTTATGAATTTATAAGCCAAGAAAGTTTTCCGACTGCTTTGGAGAATTCAGTCAGCATTAATGGACTTGTGTTTATGGTTGCTGTGGGTCCCACTGGATGTCTAATATCTCCGTCACGCAAAACTGCCCAGCCAAGTCATAAAACGAATTAATTTTAGTTCAACTCCATACAAACCCCACTATGGTTGTCGTCAAACTGCAGAAACTCCAGTGAATTTGGTCCCTCAGTTACGAGTACTCTATTTCACAAGTTCACATTTGCTCACATTGTTTTAGTTTATCAAGCGACTGACTGACAAGTGTAGTGACTTCCATCACATCAATGCTATGATCTTAACATGGACAGCCAAATGCTTCTGAAATTGGCCATCCCTTAACGTCTATCAGTGTCTAATAAAATAACGGTATTCATGTGATAGGACTAACCAAGAGGTAATCCCCTGGAAGTTAGAAACAATGTGCTCAGGGGAACAGTAAATAGTAGAACAGAACAACTTCTTGAAAAGAGTACAACGACCGGCAGCATAAGGGGTGGTTGGTCTCCTAAACAAAACATATGATGAAAGACTGAAGAAATTAAGCCTATTCACGCTTAGCTACTGTCGTCTTAGGGGGAATTTAATCACTGTCTACAAAATAACAAATGACTAGAATCACCCAAACAAAGATGTTCTGGCATTGAGGTATAGGCTCCCTCCTGGAAATCCCAGAAGGACAGCTCACCAGAAGGCAGGAACACGGATGCGCTCCCACTTATTTTCACTGTGGGTTTGTCGTCACTGGAACTCCTTAGCGGCAGATGTAGCTATGGCACCGTCTGTGAACGCCTTTAAGCGAAGCCTGGACAACCATGCAGCGACACAAGGACTGTATCCAAATGGCCTACCCCTATTCAGGGGTAGACAATTAAACTTGTCGTTTTACTTCTTTAAATTGTCTCCCGCCTTACTCTCCTGAAAACTTTAACTACACCTTTTATTATTACCGATATATAAATTATTCATATTATTCTTCAAATTTAATCATCTGACTGTTGTTACGTTTTCTTATTTCTTTTCCTGTCTGTTAGTCTGAATAACTTCACTAATTATGTCTATTTTTATTATCTCTTTCTTTTGATGACAATACCGGAGGAATAACTGGTGCAAGGATCCACTCCATTCACAGTATTAACAGTCTCAACACATCTCATACTACAAGCCACACATAATTAATCCCAGCACTACTCTTTTTGGAGTCAACCAAAGCTACGACGACGGGACGAGCCACGCAGAAGTTTACCAAAGATCAGGAACCTATACCTCACAATCAAGAAATGGGCACAAAGAAATCAAGTTGGTTTATACTAGCTCGTGAAACGATATTGGATATCGGATTTTCATAATCCAAATCACTGCCTCTACAGCGCCAATAAACCTGGATATCTATGATAAAATGAAAACATGCTGAAAGCTGCATCTCAGAACAAGTTGACTCATTCCATGGTAATGATCTCCTCCTGCGTGCCTTATTCGACATATTGAATGGAATGGTTCGCAGTTATTCTGGTACTAGATCGAAAAGAATAAAAAATTCACCGGTTGCTGAATCAAAAGTACTTCTCTGCATGTTTAACTGTATTCTAACTGCAATGATTAATTCCAAACCATTTATCCCATAATCACTCAAATTCCAGGAACGATCCAATTCTACCATTTAAAGAAGGTGGCGGACACGATGTAAATGAGTATTCATGATCTGAAATAAAGAAGCAACTGGTTTTCAACATTTTACTGAACTTACGAGTACAGTCCTCCATGCAGACACAAATGGCGCAAATGGGGAATTCTGGAATCGACCTCGGCACCATTTGATGCAGTAAAACAACTTAACATGACCTTATCTAATTTTCGCCTCCACGATCAAATTTCTTTCCTGTTATAAAACTACGATAAGACTGCAGAAAAATGGAATAAATATATCACTGATCTCAACATAATACATCAATAATCTTTAAGCCAAGGGTGCTGTTCACAACAAAGTTATATAAGAGAATTGACTTCAAGCTTTATTTTTCCCATATATCTGTATTACATTCATCTGATGTCTGGGTTTTTTGTCAATGCGAAGACAATATTTCTATATCTCTTTATGTGCTACACAAACAGACTTTATAGCAGACTGTTCCGACTGACTCTAATGTCAGAAAGAACAACCAAACTGTAAGTCCATTATACATCAAATTATGTGTAATTTATATAATAACTTATCCATGCCCGTACAATAGGTATGTTCCTGCATAAACAGGAAGGAATATATTATTATTATTAAAACAATATCTATGCATGCCTATACAATTGGTGTACCCTACATAGCTATGGAAAAAAATGTACTTTATTATATTATCTTTACTAAATATGCTTATTAATATTATGTGTAAATTGTCGAATTGATGATGCCTGTAAACTGGCGTCCCTCATGTAAAAAATGAGAATAATAATAATTATTATTATTATGACTGGCAACCATTTTGTAATGCTGAGCTATTTGATCGGTCAAATCGAGGTCATTTGACTGTGGTCTCTATTGCTTACTCTTTCCTGTGCTCAATACTAAGAAGTAGACGTCAGGACTTTAATTTGGTTAATATTTGCTCGTGATAAAAGTGTTGGATATTGGAATTGAAGGTCGCAAGGTAGCGGTGTTTTTTGTGTTTCACGCTACTTTTACAGCAGCAAAGTATGTGGAGGGTTTTAGATATCATATGGTCTTATTTATTTATAAAGAATGCCATTAAAAATTTACAGGATGAAAAATAAATTGAGGTTAAAAAAGTGACAGAAACTAGTGGATGAAGCGTAGATCATCTGATAAGTTATCTCAACCGGTGGCCACCATGGTTGTCTTCGTAATTAGTGGTATTGAGATTTTAGGAATTTAGGCTGTAATGTTGCATTTGAAAAATTCAGAAGTTTTTGTCAAGCGATTTATGTGTATTATATGTCTGGTTCATGCCCAAAGCCATAAAAATGGACACAAGCACGATTGTTGAACTAGTCGTGCGCCAGAATACAATGCTGCGATTACGGAATTGCATCGTAACTTTCAGAACATATTTTGCATTGTACTCGCTAAAATGGATTTTAACCTCATCTTTCCCACGTTTACATATGTTAAAATGCACTAATCGCTTTGCTATATCACTTTTGTTTGTTAGAAGAAATAAAGACATATTGGGGATTAGACAATGTAGCTTCATATCACTAATATCCTTTCCATCTACTTTTCGGTAAATTGCATTCGTCTGAATCAGTGTATTGCTGTGCATTGTTTTCCATTGTGTCATGGAACCTGGATAAGCCATTGATAAACTGGTTTTTGCAACACTAAGGTCTTTGTGTCCATAATTGAGGCTCTCTGTTTATTCAATGTGTCATTTACGCGCTAATACCCAGAAATGTCACTTACCTAAGCGCTGGAATCGGTTGTAATATAGTTTACTTCTAAGGATGGTAAGTATATGCTTTTGTTGATGCTGGTGAATTTTGCGAAATCGGTAAATGTCTGTTCTAAAGATTATTAATCCGCTTATATTTATTGGGCTTATTGTAGAACTGACAGTTTACAGTTTCCGCCATTAACTGTATTTTAGCTTTCACTACTGGAATCACTTGCGTGAAGGTTTCCAAGACAATTCAGTTGATCAAACTCGAATGTCACTTAGTGCAGTCTTAAAATGTGACTTTTCTGAGGTTGACAGACCTACCGAACTGATACGAAAAGCTGTGATTTTTATACCTTGGAGTCTGGGGATTGTTGTTATCGGGTTGCAGGAGAGATTGCTTATTTATCAAGGTAATTATCTATTAGTTTTTAATAAGTTGCTGAAGGATTATCTGGGAGTCGTGACAAGTTTGTTCTGATTGCCAAGCTGAACTGTTCAAGGTATTAAAATTGCTAAACTCTATGCATCTTTAGTTATATCACAGCAATTAATTATCTGAATTTCTCTTCGTAAGAAAGCTTCTTGTTTAATGGTACCGGCTCATTTTCAGAAATATCAGTGATGCTGAACGTGGTTGGAGTGTTATCGTAGTTGGCCTTGCAGACGGTAAATTATTATTTTTAGATGAGGTATGTATATCAGTATTTTTCACCTGGTATTTTCACTATAGGCTGGTAGAATTCTTTTGGGCATCAAAGATGGACTTGGTTCTGTGACCTCCTTACAAATCACTTCATGTGGTGTAAGACTGTGTTGTTTCGTTTCATTTTCAGTAGGAGAATTTGTGTGTATTATGCAAGAACACAATTATTTGTCTAAACCTCAGCGACCTGGAAGGTGTTTTGTTAAATAGTTGTGCTTATTTTTCTGAACCTCACCAATTGTATAATAACCTCAGCGTTGACTATACTAGGAAAATTCGTTATCAAAATTTGGCCATTCCCACTGAAGGTGAAAAACATCACTTTTCATCTCTGAGTAAGTGTATCTTCATATAACACGATTGTTCCAGCCAAATACCCAATTGGAACGTTTGATTCATTAGTAAAAAAGTTTGCTTTTGAATCACACTCTCGTGGCCAAAAGATGTGTGTACCATTAAAGCAAACTAGTTGGACAGTGGCTGGCTCGAATCCTTTCATAAGTTTCAGTTTCTTTAATGAGGTAACTATAAATTCGTCAGTTATATTTGTCTCTCTTTGTCCTTTTTCGTGGTTAGTTAAGGTTGGTTGTTTCCTTTTTAGAATACGGACCCTGGAGCTTCCCATTTCGCATCTTTTATTTACCAAGAGGCCAAACGTGCCATGTTTGGGTTTAAAAAGTGGGTTTCAGGTTTTCGGTTTTCATTCACTTGACACTTGTTTCTCATGCACTTGGTTCTCTTGATAAATTTCGATGGTACGATCAAAAAGTTCATCTATAGAAAAGAAACATGGACTGGACAATATCTTCACTCTAACTGCTTCTGTCCTTTAGGCGATACGCGCGGATTAGGGAGAACACTCAACAACAGAGCCAGGAAGCTATGTTCATCCACCAAGCTGGAAGAATTAGGCTCTGTTGAGAAATGCCTAGGGAAAAATGGGTATTCAAAGGGAATTATACTAAAGTATATCAAACAGAAACACGAGAAAATGAAACACCTAATTGTTGAAAAGAAGAAAGTGTTTGTCTCACATTCAAAGGAGAAGCAGTATCACAAATGGTTGACAAGAGAATAAAATGAGCAATGAAAAGATGTTTCCTTACAGACAAGCTTGTAACAGAATAAGGCACCAAATGCTCTATAAGACAATCTGAACTAGATAGGTACCCTGCTCATGTCACTTCCAACTGAGTTTATAGATTTACGTGTATTTGCAAGAGCAAGTACATTGGAAAGACAGAAAGAAAAACTTCTATCTAGTTTTTCGAGTATATCACAAGAAACTGATGTCTAAAAGGAAGCAGATATTCGCAAAGTGCAACTGCCAGACTCTTCATGGTTACGTATCATTTCGTCGAGATTTCCAAATCCTTCAAAATGTTAAATATACAAAGGACAGCGAATTTACTGAGATTTACTGAGGCAACTGCAATCAAACGTTTCAAACCAAACTTTTTTTGGGACTGTAAATGGTGTGAATAATTGTGGGAATAATCGATTGATTTTCATTAATTGCTTTTGTTTGGAGTTTCTCTAAAAGGTGTTCTCTTCCTTTTCAATGGTCTTTTAAGTTTTTTTCTTGTGAAAACATAGAATACAATTTTATGAGGAACCAGTCACCGTTGGTCGGTGGCTGTTGTTGTTCTAGGTATATGGTGTTAAGTCCATACTGTGTATGTAAGATATTACACTCGTTTGTTATGATTGTATTTAAAGCTTAGGCGTACTGTGGCAAGAAACTGTTTTTCACAGGTAACAAAGTATCTTTTATCGTAGTTGTGGGTTCTGTAAATACTGTCACTATGATACAACATATATATATATATATATATATATATATATATATATATATAGTGCTTTTCCCACCGTTCATAAGCTGTTTTTCACTTTATTGTGAATTTCATCTCTCACTTTATAACCTATTCACATGTTTTCTAGCAATTATTCAGAATCCTTAGTTGTAACCTGGCCAGGAAGTGAAAATGATCTCACGTACCCTGTTGTTCAGTGCAGTTCTCTTCCTAATATTTCTCTAAGTTTTTCTCATGGACTAGCTGATAGCCGTCGTAGTATATTGTCTTCTGGCATTGGTATATCATCCGATCACCACTGGATGGCTGTTCCGGATAGTCTTGGAAGAGTGCTTCTCATAGATACATATAAAGAACGTGCTGTTCGTATGTGGAAAGGTGAGTAGGTGTAAATTTTTGTCATCGTTTTGTTATGCATCTTTACAGTCTTCAAGTCAATTGAAGTTTGAATATCTCATCAGGAGAATAATTTCAGCAGCACTTATATATGCTGCTTCGCGTAAGAACAGACTTTTGTAAATCTCACTTACTGCTTATAAACACATTAAAAATCTGTATGATATCACTAAAAGTAAGTTACTTGGAAATATACACACTTTCACTCACCTTTAACCATTGCATTTTTTTCACATTACAATGTGTTCATAGACCATTGATATCTATATACTAAAATGGGTTTTCTGTTGTACAGCATGATATTCAATGTTGTATAAAGTGGATTCAATAATGATAAGCAAGTAGGTAAATAAACGTGAAATTGCAGTTGACACAAGAAATGACTGGCAAAACTAACAAATTAGGAAGTGTATATTACTTGTTATTGTTCCTTTGGGTTCCTAGGGGAACATTGGGCTTAAACAGCACGTCTCCACATTGTTGTATTTTCTGCTCTCCCCTTCAGCTGGTCCCACGATTGCCTACCATATCTGATCTCCTCGCACAATCTCTTTCATGTCACTCCCGGATGACCCAATCGTCCTTTCCCATTCGGGCTCCACTCGAGCGATGACCTGGCGTGCGACATCATTCGACGGTGTGCCCAATCTATCTCCATTTTCTTCCACATATTTGTTAAGCAATAGCGTCTTGATTGTTTTGTTCCCATAACTTCTTGTCGCTAATTCTTTCTGGCTAGTTGGTCCGCAATATTGAAGCGAAGATATCTGTTGATAAAAATCTGCAGTGGCCTGTTGAAAATACTTTTCGTAACGTGCCAAGTTTCTGATCCATATAGAATCACTGACTTAACATTGGCGTTGGAAGTCCGAATCTTGTTCTTTATGCTGATTGGGATTTCCAAGCGGATTTCAGAATGATGAATGTCTGCCTTGCCTTTCCGATTCTGTCGTTGACATCTTCATCCGTTCCACCTGTGGTTGATGTGATGCTTCCTAGATAAGTGAAGAGAGGAAGTTACCTCTTTCAAATTTCTCCTTTGATAGTAATTGGTGCTGGTTGTTGTTGTTATCGTCTGTTGGTCATCTTTATCACTTCTTTCTTCCCCGTTTTTTTATTTTTTTTTTTTTATTTTTGATTACAGCTTGATTCCACACCGTATTTTTGGTACAAGTATGGAATTTCAGCGTGGATATCGGTAGCCCAAAATTCGCATGCCGACCATAGATATCAAGTGTGCGTCGGCGTGGGCTCGAACCCCGGACCATGTGCATGGTCGGCGAGAGTCCTAACCACTCTGCCACCGACGCAACCAGTCTGACGCATAATCCAGTCCACCACATTTAAGAATTTCGTCGGTGATGTTAGAAATATATATATATATATATATATATATTATATATATAAATGAAAGAAAATTTATATTATTACGGCTTCATAATTTTTTACACTTGCCTCTGTTGTTTAAAAACCTAGTTGAATTCCACTTTTGCTAAGCATCGTAAGTAGTTAAACTGTGATGAAAATAACGAAAGATGGTGTCTGAATAAATGAAGCATTTTGATTATATATTCCGCTGTGAATGATACGTAAATGTTAGTTGTAGTGAATGAACTAGGAAGAGTGGTTAAATAGTAGCTTAATAGTGTGCTTGTTTAATAATGACAGGTCTTTTATGTAAATTTAGTCATGTATACACCCAAATTTCATGACATGTCGAGACAATGTATAGAAGTATAGTGGCAATAACGAAAAACAAAAAGAACGAAACTGGCTTTATTGACTATCCTACACTTGTCTAAATTAGTCCCCTGAATCATAAACAGATGAATAAAAACTACAAGAGATAATGAATCATAAATATAAATTCCGAAATTGGGTTTTTAGTATTCATATGATTCTGAAATTTCATAAATTTACTTTATCAAGAATTCGTTTAGGTTGTTGAAGTAACTCTATAGTTTTTTATGTTTGAATTTTGTTTGCTCCTAGGATATAGAGATGCTGAAGTTGCTTTTCTTGAAGTTACTGATTCAGAGACTCTTTATGTCAGCAGCCATAATCAGCCTAATAATGCAGTTAGAAAGACACTCTGTTTACTTATTCATGCTCCACATCTTCATTTATTGGAGTTGTGGTGTTTAGTTCACGGTCCTAGAGTCGTTTCCTGGGATGTAGTAGAACCAGTTCGCCTTATTCAAACGGAATGTCATGCCTACAGTTGTCTACGTGAGTCGAACGATTCAAAGTAAGTAATCAGTTTAAAAGCCTTCATTATTTATCCTAAACTTTGACAATTAACTATTGATGTTGTACTTACAGGGAATCGTCCTAAGCACTGTTCAAGTTTTTAATTTATAGAATTTACTATTTTGCTGCTGATATAACCTTTAAGATGGTTCATTTAATTTTTTCTATTTACTCCTACTGTCATCATTGTTATGATTTTGGCGCCATTCGGTGTGAACCGTCGTCAATCGATATGACTAAGTGGACTTACACGTGGGCATAATAACACAAACTAAATGGACAGCCCAATTGAGATGCTATATATGTTTATTTTGCCTTAGTACCTTCCGCTTCGTTGGGCCGTGTAAATATCAAAAGACAAAGACTGGCTTGTGATTGTTAGGATAACAACTGTATTAGAGAAAAGCATATATATGTATATATATTTCTAACTGCATTAAAATATAGCTAGGGCAGTGAAAAATAGGTTCTTCTGATTGGTAGACGTTTCAGCTAGCCCCACGGAAAATAAATGTTCTGATTGGTTGGTGATTGGCCCAGGACGAAGGTAAGAAAGAGATAATCAAATTTTCAGTGAGGTCAGATCATCTGATTACAGGATAAATTCTGCAACGACTAGCTTAAAATATTGGTTACTATTTTCAGCCGCTTCCTATCACCTCCCCCCGTAAAAATTGTAGGACTTTCTCTTTGGGTCTGTTTGGGAAACACTGTATTTCCGGACCAAAATTAATTCCCGATGGAGATAACTGATTTGAGGCGAAAGCAAATGTTGGTGTATCTTACTTGCTTTACTTAGGCTATCTCCTACGGGAGGATGAACCGGCTTCATGAACATCTCGAATGTTTGTAAGAGAGTTGATGAAGTTTCATGGGAATTGGGTACGAGTGATGTCCCCAGCATCGCTCGGCCTTTTGTTTGAGAGTGCAGCTCTAGCCTTTACACAGCCAAGTGTGACCTACAAGGCAGTAGGAGTGGAGTAGGGAGTCCACTATCCATTGGCAGCCGGTGACCGGAGTCCGGTTCATACGCCTTTTTGAATGGGGCCAGACATCCAGGGCATCCAATAAGCTCTTTGTCCATACGTCTGCCGGTGAACTCCGGTGAGCTTCATACGCCAGTCGTTGGAGGTTTGGAATCAGGGTTTAGCCATCTCCCCTAGACTGTCATCCAATGGACAGTCAACCCGGTGAAGAGCGCCGGGCATCCGCTTTTGCCCTCTCACTTCGGTGAGAAACACCTCCGCCACGTGAAGGCAGTGAGTAGGACTTCCTCAGGAGAGGCTATGTAAGACGCACGGTCATATGGGAGCATTTCAAGAGGTGTACGGAGGGGTGGCTAGCCCTCAGCGCAAGACACCCACCCCCGACCATCCTGAGGCTTTGGAGGCTGTTGGTGTATCATAAAGAAGCAGAACTCTCTCCCATTGTCCTCTTTGCCTTCATGAGAGCACTCGTAGGAATGTTGGCAAAGCATTGAGCTTGTCGATAATATAGGAGGCAATGTGGAACTGGGCGTTTAGGACGGGAAACTGGCTTAACCTTCGGTGTTGGAGGCGAAAAGACTTGATCAAACTTGTAACGACCAAGTTTGTCTTGGGAGACAGGCGTGCTTTTGACACAAGTGTTGCATTAGAGATTTGTCAGATAGATGACTTGGAACAATATCATTTGATAATGACGTTAAATTAGAACATACTGAATTTAATGGGATATTCGAGATATTGAGCTTATCCATCCAATGCAGACCAAGTAAATTCAAATCAAGGTGGTTCGTGAGATAACATACACCATGGATTTGGTGCCCACCTAAGTGAACAGGACAGTTGATCTCACCCGTGAATTTTAACACTCCCCTAGAAGCATTCTTAACCGTATGTTTTGTCGGAGGAATTTGTGGGCGCCCAAGTGTGCACCACGTATTGTGGGAAATTGTTGCAATTATTTGTATTAGTCGTATTAGTATTTCGCAATGACCGAATGAAAAAAATTCAACCAAAACACAGAAAGGGATGAATTTAGGAATTTGTATTTGGCGGAATTGTAATTATCAATTCATATAAGAAGTATATTAACAAACAACAGTAAGTATTTACATAATACAGAGATAGAAATTGTCAATCATCACAGAAATTAAAGTGATATCTGATTCTGTATCCGATTGAAGAGGAATGGGTTTATTGTTGATGGACAGCGTGACATACTTTCGTCTCCTGGCAAAACCGACTTTGAACGTTGTGAAAACGGCGTAATTGAAGGAATCATGTTTGTTTTTCAAAGCGAAATTTTTCTTTGGTGAACGGTAACCCTCTTTATGTCCAAAAAGGCAACATTTTTGGCATGTATGTTTCATGAATGGACGAAATTTGACAAAACGCCATGAACCACAGTAACAGGACACTGAAAAAGTCCTGGCTGAATTTTGAGACTATCATACGATGTGCTTAACGGTGGACGGAGAAGTTTTCATTGCATTAACTGAGGCAAATTCAGACATCTGTGATTTGTGCTCCAGTATGGCAGTGTCGGGCTTCAAGTTGCTTAAACGTTGACATTGTGTATTCACCATGTGTAAAGTTATTTTCGGATCTTGTTCCACGCGTCGCATTCATTTCATTCTAATGACAGTATCTTTCAAAGTGCATAGAATTGTTTAATGCAAAATGTATCCTCACTTTTAACGACTATTGATCACACTTCTAGTTAAATATGTTAGAAAGAAGATCAGCAACATTTAGAGCAGTGTATTGAGTATGCTATGCTGTCTACATTGAATAGTTATAAAATGGAAGTATTCGGTATATGATATGGGTTTATAGGAGTATTTCGAATTAGGAGAAGTTTCGAGTACTTGATGAAGTTTTTCATCTTTTATTAAAAATACAAATATTTGCTGAGTAGTAAACTGTTTGAATTTCATGGTTTTCAGCCAAAATACTACCTCAGTTTATACAAGAGTGAAGTGTACGTACAGTTTATTAGACTGCTCAGTTCATAGGGGGAGTCAAATAGTCTCGAAGTAGTTTTAATCATAATCAAATGTCAGAAATGGAACTGATAGGCGCCAATGTGTTGAATAGCTGTTTTGCCCAGGTTTCAGACGATTCACTTGACGATGGATTTCCTAAAGTTTAGACCTTTGGATGTCAACCTCTTATGTAAATGATGATGTGTTAGTCACAAGAAATGATGCTTGTGCTCTTGATCTTACACGAAGCCTAAGATGTACACTGTTGTAGAGTCTCAAACTAGGACGGCACAATCACACATTGTTAATTGGTTTTCAATGGCCCCCTGCATGATTTCGATTTATGATTTAAATTACAGTTTATTCACTCATAATAAATTCTTATCACAATGCACTCTCATGCGTGTTGCATGGTGCTTCATGGAGTAAAATAGTTTTGCTGAGTGATAATTCTCTCTCTCTCTCTCCACCCAAAAGACGAGGTACTTTGTTTATTAAGTTTGGGCATTACTATCAGTTTTGCAGCTAACAGTGATGTCGTTTGTATTTCTCACTTAGCTGTGTGAAATTTATCATCTCTGAATAATTTATAAAACAGCTCTCTTACATGACTACTGCTCTTAGTATTTAGAGCATACTGAGTTCTCTATTTTCCAAATTTAACAACCAGGATGTCATTTCCACTAATTAAATTGGAGGACAAATCACCTTTATACTATAGTCTGGTGGGTGATGTTCAAGAAGGGTTATAGGAGTGTGTAGGTGGTTATTACTTTCTGGCTGCCTTCATCGGGGAAGTTGATTTCTTCTCCGAGTACCTGAAACAGAAGGGGCATTAGTGTTACGTGACCGTAAAGCCCAGGGGACTACTGCTTGAGGTCAGTGCTACACGACTTGTTTGAATTTGTTTTTGGTATTGCGTCCGTATTACGATCTTACTGCCTGCTACGGACCGCTGCTAGGTAAGTCGGGATGTACATTTTTCGGGGTCGATCTTTTCTTACATCCACCCATTATCCAGAGTAGAGAGACATCAGACGTGGCTTGCTGGTCATCTGAGGGAAACACCTTATTTCTGTTGCATTCATGTTTCTTTATTTTACTGCAGTCTTACTAATTAAATGTGTCCGACATGTTTAAACAGTTCCTAGTGTATTGGTAGAATGCCATTTCACCGAACATTAGCAATATTTTAGAAAGTATGGTGCCTGAACACAGAACAGTCAAGCGTTCAATAAGTTTTCCAGGGTGAAAGTAAGGGTAAAATCCATGTTTACTGACTCAGCTGTTTACAAAACAGTGTGAATTATACTCTCTCTGTCCCCATTCATCTGTTTCATTATGAATTATAACGGTAAATTAGCATACGTTGTTGTTTTTCTAAAAGATGTTTTTCTGTAAGAAACATGTCTTCACATAAATTCAGTGAGTGAATGAATGTAGAGTCATGTTTGAGAAATCTTCAAATTATTTTCGAATAAAATTTTCTTTTTACATACTTTTGTTTATTTTCAGGCCTAAGTTTAACCAAGTAGTCCTGATAGATGGTTCTGGTCGCGTTTATTCTATCAGTTTGAATTCTAGTTTGTGTTTATCAGAAAATAATACGGAGGCTGCAGTAGATTACCGAGAATATAAAATACTTCAAAGAGTCTATGAAACCTTGGAACAATATGGTAATAATTTAACATTAGGTATGTTTGTTGTATTTTTGAAGAATTTGCTTAACATTTCCAATATATTTGGGAAGATTCCGTTGGGTGGATGTTATTCAAAGCCGAGATTAAGTCTAGCGCCGTTATTAGAAGCCTTCTAATGATTGCTTAGATCTCTGTTGGTAATGACACCTTTAAATGCAGTATTAGTAAACTGGAACACGGCCTATCATCTCTATAACCTAAAGTTTGAGCTCAGTTGTTATATGCCAAGCATTGTCAGTATTCACTTTCTCAATTAGATAGCATGTCAAAGATTGCACTGTTTTTGTCAGCCTTGTTTTCGAAATATCTGTGAGATTAGGCGGTTTGAGGTAATATATGGGTGGCTTTATACTTACGTAAGCAGAACAAGTCTGCAGCTGTTTATTTCTTGAGATGTCTAGTACAATCAAAAACATTATCACTAAGTTGTTCAAGTTTCAAATGACCTGTGGAATTTTATTAACTATATGTTAACTTATGTGACTGTTGATGAAGGTATACAGATCACATAGATTTTCCGACGATATTACTATTCAGTGTTCAATGAACTCATAACAGGATTTCACCATGAGCTGGCATCGGTTAGAGAGGGTTGTTTCGTCCTAGTTTGGGAATCTTCATCGGTAAACACCCGCCGCCAAGGTTCGAACCCAGAACCTTCTGGTTACAAGGCGAGCTCGTAGACCATTAAGCCACTGAAACCGGATCCAATGGTCAGCCCATGAATTCCTATACCTGCCAATTCACGATGTAGCGCGACCACTAGCCAATGTCTCCGACGAGTATTTTTCCCCACATCCCCGGCCTGCTGTACCCTACTGGTCACGAATTCGCGCTAGAACCCCAAGTAACCCCAGTGGCTTAATGGTCTACGAGCTCGCCCTGCAACCATAAGGTCTTGGGTTCGAAGCCTGGCGGTGGGTGCGCACTGATGAAGAGTCGTGAAAAAGGAGGTTGAAACAGCTGTCCAGTACTCCCAGGTTTCCAATGGTTCTCTAATCTTGAACAAAGGAAGAACAACAATTGTACCAGGATAATATGAGCTCATCTTTTATTATTTCGAGGATTCTTCTCAACTGGTCACAACCTGAACGTTAAAAATTATGAATTACAATAATGATATGAACATACTTTTCCGCGATCATATGGAGTAATTGGTAGGATTTCAAAGTAACATTGGTCCGGAATGATTTAACTGATTAGGAGTTACAAACACTGACTACTTATAGAATAAGTAGACAATTAGGCTTGGAAACATAAAAAAACAGGGTTGCGTATATATATGTGTGTGTATAGAAACAAGGTTTAGCTAGAAAGAGCATAATGAAAAAGGCAATTGCGTAACTAAAGAAAACGTCTTATCTAATAGCCAATAGAAAAAAAAGGAAAGAAAAGAAACAAGGTAGGGTAAGTCACGTTTAGATGAGAGAGTAGAGTTTTCTAATCATGAAAAAAGTGACTCATGAAAGTTGTATATTTTTTGTTATCACCAGGGCAGTGCAAAATTCACCACTATCTCTTTCTGCGTACATAGATTTGGTTTAAGTCGTTTGATAGCAATTGCTTCAGCAAAGCGTAGCAAGCTAGGTTTCTTTTGCTTCTTGATTATTTTGAACGACTTCAGGTTGTCTACAATATGACCAGTGTCCAATAGATGGCGAGTAATCGCACTGTTTAATGCTTGAGGACCTTTCAGTCTCAAGTTCATAAATACGGACACTAACCCTTCTCTCTGTTCTTCCAATGTATGTGTTTTGGCACATACGTGTAAATTGGTAGACACAGTCGGAGGTAAGATGAGGTGGGTAATTGTCCACTTTTGATTGTCTCAAACAACTAGTTTGATAAACACATACAAGCTTGGCGGCTGGATATGTTCTTTTCAGGGTAGCGTTCAGTCTGCATCTTATTCTGCCAGCAGTATCATCACCTTTGAATGCAAGCTGCAGAAAGATAGGTTCTCTAATCATGTCAGCTCTTGATGAAATCCTGTAACCAATCAGTCTAATCCATACAAACCAACACTTGAGCTGATAACACCTTGTATGTTGCATCTGTAAATGTAGACAATATTCGAGACTAATGCAAAAGTGGTCACTTTAGGTGTAAAATCACCAATCCCTACCTTTTACTCAATTCTAAAAATAATACCCTGACCTAAAAGTAAATAAAAAACAACTAAAAGCATGTGCAAATATGCCTGAGTAAGAGGTTCTCATCATTTTGATATAAAGGAAGGTTTGAGAAGTATTCGACACGTCCAGAAATCGGATACTGCATAGAACTTATTGGTGTCATTTGCTTTATTCATTTTACATTTTTATTTCTTTGCGTTTCCAGTGGGACATAAGGCTTTAAGTGAAAGCTTTGAAGTTACAGTAGCACTAGTGCTGCTTTCATGGGATAGGGTTGCCAACCTCATGCCCAACCTTCCTTCCTTACTGGGTTTACTACCGGCTAAGCAAGGTAAAGGAGCGGGCCGACCGGGGATCGAGCCTTAGGCCACTTGTCAGCACATTTCCATTTCGTCCTACTGTCAATATGAGTTTTACCTCCTTTTTAGATCAGTTCTCGACTGGGCTATCTGATCTTCTGATTCAATTTGAAACTATGCAGTGGTGTGAACGAGCTCTTATCCATGTACTAAGTCATCCTAATCTTAGCCCTCATCTAATTTTGGATATTATAAAGCGCTGTATTCAGTCAATGACGAGTGGTTAGTTATAATAATTTTTTCTCTAAGTGTTCATTTGTTATACATTCTTATTTTCACTTTATTCCTTAGAGCATTGGACTCCAAGCAGGAGCCTTAAAGTTTGGGTAACAGTGGTTTTATTTTTACGGGTTGCTAGCCTTACGCGCGACCTTTCCTCTTCATCGGCCTGACTACCGACCTAGCTAGGTCCAGGAGTGACTCAGCCGGAGGGGCGAATCCCAGACCACATAGGTGGTTGGCGAACGTCCTACCACCGAATACCCGACGCCTCTTATTTTGATAAGACATTGTCAATGTGTTTGAGGTGTATTTTATTCCCCTCTGGTTCACATTCACTGGCGAAAAATATAATGATTTTGATTTAAGAAGTCTATGTAGTCAAATTTTATTAAAGTATTCAGAAGAGATAGGTGTGTCACAGCATCAAAGATTTGATTTTGATATCAAGTGAATTGTAGTGAGGCGGAAAATATATTTTCTTTTAACTAATTGCTTTTATTTCATAGTAGTACTGTAGTTGGAGTAAGGGGTTACACAACAGTCTATTGTATTTTATTTTATAGTTATGGGAAGTGTGAGAATAATGTTGTGCTTAGTTTTACATACATATCCAATACATTACTCATAGCCATTTAACCGTTATCATGATCATGTACTCACTGGACTTACGTGCTATCAATCTGAGTTACGTATGGTCTAGATGTTAAGAATCAGTGACTGACTGAATTTCAACATAAAACTTTGCATAAAATTGTAGCAACTCACGTTTCCTCGCTCCATATAGCACACAAAGTTAGGGGGGGGGAACTTCAAAGGGAAGTATAAAGAACACAAATGTGGAGGAGGAAGAATAATTACGTGGAGACTAATAAGAAATTGATAGATCTAGAAGTGTGGTGAGAGCAGGCTGCTAGCCAATTGGTAGACATTAATCTACGTCAATGTCTAGGTCACTAATATTGGCCGTGAGAAAATATGAACAAGGCTGATTCAACGACCAATCACAGAAGACTTAACGTGGGCAAATAAGATTCGCAGATATATGGCTTAACTTTCCGAGAAACCAGAAATAATCAGTCAGAAGACTGCGTTTGTCTACTTGAATCAGCTATAATAATGTACATGAAATATATATAAATACGTGCTGATTTCCGTAATAAAACGATCTGTTGGCGGCCCTTGTCTTCTGTTGTTTCAGAAGTTCATAAGGATTGAATACATCTACACGATTGAGAATGATTTTTAGCCGTATCACCAACACTCGCCAGCCATTCATCTTTAGAGTGTGGAGGACGCCAGCCTGTGCCTTTCTCCATGGTTAGCTTACATTAACAGTCAAAGACTTCATCGATTGGTGCCAGGCTTTAATTTCACCTAATGCAATGTCAGATAACACTGCTCAACGTCAGGAATCAATGATTAAATGGCATTACTTACGATTAATGATATTAGAGAATATGAGGTCACTTTTAATCACTAAATTTGTAAACATCTTCATTGGTATCCGGCTTTTTCGTCTAGTTATTTTTCATACTGTTTTTGTTTAGTTTCTTTCCTCGGTCAGATGTGTTTGTCTTCATCATGTTGTTTTCTGTGTTAGTACTTTCACGTCTTCCATAGATTGTGTGGCGTATCGGTCCAACAATCAATTGTCCTAATCACTTGATCATACCTAATTGCGGGATTCTATGCTTTTCTGTTTAGATGAGGATACAAGCAAGCAGTTTAATGTAATGAATATCAAAATATGCAAAAATGTGGAATATTTAGTCAATTTCTATCTCACCTTTCATTCTTTTTATGATCGTGATGATACTGGGATCGAAGAAAGATGTGTATTCACTAAGGAATCTTTCAACTCATGTATTGAGGTAAATTTCTTGTCGCTTTCAATAGGCTTTATATTTGTCATATTTATTATTCCCTATGGTTGATGTTTTGAATAAAACTATAGAAATTACCTTATTCCTTAGTGAATTCAATCAATGTTAATGGTGAATTTGAGGAATGGTTGAATATTGGTATTGCTTGTCATGATTTCATTGAACTAAAGCCGTAGTAAACAACAGACACCAAAGTCGAATGACCTTGATTCGTTCAATTATATAGCTCAGTATTACAGATACATGCTAGTCATAATCCCCGTTGCAAGTGTCTCCTAGATTTGGTTTTTGACTTCTCTCTGGAAATGGGTTGATAGGGAGGCCTAAAACATGCGTATGTGGAGGGAGAATGCCTTCGAAAAGGTATTGCGAGGCTATTGATGGCTATGCATTCAGATGCAACCACTTTATATGAAGAAGTCTGTAAGAAATGGTAAGTCGTACATAATGGTGACTTTTTAGACAATTTCTTCTCGAAATCGAGACTCTCCCTTAGTCGGTGGCACAGTGGTTAGGACTCTCGCCGACCATGCACATGGTCCGGGGTTCGAGCCCACGCCGACGCACACCTGATATCTATGGTCGGCCTGTGAAATTTGGGCTACCGATATCCACGCTGAAAATTCCATACTTGTACCAAAAATACTGTGTGGAATCAAGCTGTAATCGAAAATCAAAATAATATATTGCGTATATGCGACGAGTATCTGCTACAGCTGGGGAAATAGGGAATAAATTGGTTTGATATGTCTATAACGACTTCTATGGGAAACTGGGGCCAGTTTTTGCAGCATATTAGATATATATACCGTATACAATTCATTTTTACCACATATTTATCGTAGGTACACTTTTTTTTATAAATTAAGTACCACTTTTCACCAAGAAGAATCTGATTAGTTGTTTCAAGGTCGTCTGAAGTTGGCGTCTATTTTTTACTGTCGCTTCGTTCAATTGGTCTACCTGGCTTTATTTTGTGATTTTGAGAAGGAATCTCTACGGAGACGAAATTACCGGAAGAAGGTAGTTCTCCTAGAGAATGGAGGTGTATTACATTGGCTTAGGCACTCGACTTTCAGCCAATTGGCCCCGGGTTCGAATCCGACTCCACTTACTTGAGCTTGGGCAATTGGGCAGTATCATTAACCCCCACACAATAAGTGTGGCTTACAGACCACTACTGGGTAAATAAGATCTGACTAACTAACTAACTAAGCCTTCCGTCTGCAGAACATAGTGGGCCGTTGAATGTATCTGATAGTATTCGTATAAAAATGGATTATAAAATAAACAAAATTTCAAAAAATTTGTTTATGTACAAATATCTTTTTAAAAAACTGCACCATCCAGCGTGTTAGGGGTAGAATTTGTCATAATTGCCTTATTAAATAAAACAGTTTCTGAACATCCTTTACACAATAAATTTTAGCAGTATAAATGCATGATGATATTTATATGCTAGTGATTGATTGATATGAGTAGCTGGAAACCGCCTACCCCACCCATCAGTAGTGTTTTCTAGCCAGGTCGAAGTGATCTAAACACCGGATGGCTGTTTCGTTTCAGTGGTGTACACTACTAGTTGGTTTGAGTGATATATCAACCAATCAGTGGCGTTATAATGGACAGTTACTGATTCGTGGTTGTAGTGTAACTTGACCAGAATGTGCCGCCCCCAAACATGACACTATAACCAACTGATAGCTTGAAAATATTCCTCCCACAAAAGTCAGGTTTAACTTTGATAACAGCGGCAACATTTTGTTGTTCAAAATTCAAGGTATGTATAGTTTGAAAAAACCTAGGGAATTGAAGTCACAAGCAAGCAAATAAGTCTGATTGGTTGTATGACATCGCAGTCGTCGGGAATTGAAGCCGAAAATAAGCCAACTTAAAATCTGTCCGGTCAGGTTATCGTGTCACTGCATGCATAGAGCATGACTTCACGGCTAACAACGATAGGTTGTTCGTCCTAGCAAGTAATATATCTAATCATGCTTTTACACTTGCTTTCTTGATTGCCATACATTATATTAAGCAGATCACATATTGTGGTGACATTCCACTTCGAACTGTGCAAGTAATAAATGGTGAATTTAATCGCAAAGTTTAACAGTAAAAAGTTTTAATTGTCATATAAGGTTGTTTTGCAAACCAGGGAGTACTAGACAGTTGTTTAGTCCTAGTTTGAGACTTTTCTGCAGTACGCATCCGCTGGGGTTCGAACCCAGGACCTTCCGGTCACAAGGGAAGACTGGCTACGGAAAAAAATTGCCTGCAATTCTAGTGAGAAGTTTCATAATTAGTGGGGTTAACCCCTTCGGGTGTGACAACAAATACTCACCGATGACATTGGTCGGTGGTCGGATTAAAATCACGAATTGGTAGGAGTTGAGTTTGGATCCATGGGCTTGCCATGGTCTCTTAATGTTGTAAGAAATGAATAGAATGTCACTTAGTCAGTTATAATTATCAGGGTGATTGTTGACTAAGCGAAAAGCAATGCTAGTCTCACATTCATACTTATTATTAAGGGTCACTTGTTCATAGCGTAAGTTATAAACTTTCAATGCGTTCATGGTTTTTACACCATTTATTATCCTTTAGAATTGAAGTCGACTTTTGTAGACCAGACTTTTATTCTATATCGTCTGGCTTATTAATTATTGTTTTCTAAAAAATTAGTTTATAGCTGATTTACTGAGCTGGGATCCAGAAGATGCAGGACGTTGTTTACAACAATATGCAATTTGTGCATCAGTTCTGGGTACTGCTACTACTGTTGTTAGGAAACCACTTCCTATTCAATCATTCCTTAATTCATTCCATTATGCTTTTGTTACAAATACTGACGGAGAGAATACCTCAACTGATTCATTGGGAAATGATATCCAAGAATCGAAACAACATCTTTTGCCAAGAATTCGTTCAGATAATGCACGCAAAACGTTGACAACAATTGGTGAGTTGCTTGATATGTTTTGTTAATTTAATGAAATTCAGTACCTTTTTTTTCTTTATTTGTTTTTTTTACTAAATGTTCGATAACCATAAATTGATATCAAAATTTAGTGTATCTCTGACTTCTAAATTTGAGGAGAATTAAATTTTTGCTGTTCTCTTTGTAAAAATATGTGATAATACTGCCTCATTTTGGAGGTTATAGTGGTCTCAGAGAGATTTGAACTCCTTGCCAGCTGGATTTTTGTAGAAGCACTGGAAAACCTTGATTCCAACCTATGGTACATCTACCTTTAAAGATATGAAAAGAAAGAATGTTGTATTAACCCGTGTCAATCAGTAGCCCTCATGATATCTTGTTTAAGTAAAATCATTGTTAAACTATTTGACTTCTCTATTCAAATACTGACAATCTTTTAGGGTAACATTTTAACATTCCATGGTATTTGTTGTATTCGCAATTGGCGACAACTGAACAATCTCAAATTTTAAACCTTCCTGTCTGTCTTCGTCGGCATTACAACGTGTAGGTGTCCCACTTGTTCTGCATGTCACAGTTTTCATCAGTGCTTACTAAGCCCTGTCGTCGTTCTGTGGCTGTTAAAAGATTTCAAAACTAGTTGCTGTGGCTCCTCTGGTATGTGGATAGCATTATACTCTAGCGTAAAAAATATCACTACCTGACCGGCTCCCAGTGTATAGTCCTTCCAAATTAATTTTTTCGCTGGATATATCATGTAGTGAAACAGTGTTATTTACTGGACGACAATTTATTGTTCATAATCATATCAATTATAAACAAACAATTTCTTTTCTTTATTCCTTCTCATTCTTCATGAGGGTACTAGATTTTTCCAGTCGTCTGTGTCAGGTGTTGAATCATTCCTGTCCCGTGTATATTTAGCTGACTGTATAAGTAAAGCATCCGTTGTCAAACTCTCCCTCCACCCTGTGATATTAGATTTTAAGACTGTTGTCTTGCTCTATCCTATTTTATGATTGTGTAACTACATGTAGTGCTATAGCTGAGTATTTTCTAGATTTCGTATCTAGATTTTCGTGCTCAGCTAGTTTGATAGACCCCGTTCTGTTGATTTAACCTGACAGTCATCGTAAGATGTTAGATGAACTAAATTATTTTGTTGAATGGGCTCTACTGGATGGTTTAATCTGTGGTGAGAGCTGGCTGTTAGTCAGAATTGGTGGACAGTAATTTACGTCAGTGTTTATGTCCCCAATATTGGTCGTGAGGAAAATGAGAAGAAAGGCTTTGCGTAGGCGGATACAGTTAGCATATAGATGATCTGACATTCAAGAGACAGTTACGAAGAGATGCAAGGTTTACTTTCTGTCAAAAACAACCAATCAGAAGACTGTGTTTTTCTGCTAACAATAATCTATAAAATGTACATGAAATATATATAAATACGTGCTGATTTCCTTAATAAACGATCTGTTGCCTGGCCCTTGTCTTCTGTTGTTACAAATCTACTTAATCTATCTCACCAATCCTATTTTTTACTGACACAGGATAGAATAAACCGAAATACAAATATCGGTTTGAGTTTATGGGTTTTCCGTAGACATCAGTGCTCAACTTCCCATCTTTCCTTTTTATGCTACAATCTAACATTGGAAGCTCCCTTCATAACTCTGCAATATATAAGTGAATTGAATTGCCCCTACGTTTGTTTTGGTGTGTTCTAAAATTCTAATTATATATTGTGTTTTTAAATACAGTGAATGTGTCATTCACATACCTTCATCATGCTTTGGGGTTGGGGCTAAACGTTTCAATCGCCAAGTTCTCACACCTATCCATGAATATATTTGCCATTATTGGGGCTGTTGGCGATACTATGAAAGCCTCCTCAGTTTGTTAGTATATTTTCCTGTGGAATCCACTGTGAAATATGTCTAATAAAGAAACTAATGTGGAATTGCATACTGCGACAGTGCCCAAATTCTACACATTAGTTTGTAGCCCTCTCGTATTGTTTTGTTAAATGACTCCATAAGAATAAGAAAGGATTGTGATACTTGTGGATGCTTCTTCGTAGTTTTAGCCTAAATCCTCACCGACCCCTGTTTAGGTGTATTAAATGGAACTTTGCTGCAAAATGCTAAAAGCTCAGATGTGATTATATCAGTGGGTGATTTTATTGCCTAACTAGGACTGTCAGTCATTACTTTTCTCAAAAAATACAAACTAACAGGTTAAGAAAATTAAAAAAAAGTGCGCATGGGAACATTAATACAACTTCAAATCGTGGTTGAGTTATTCAAATGGTATAAAATGGAGCAAAATGGAGTCACTTTGTGCAATGTGAAATTCAGCATCTTACTTACTTAACCACGAAGGGGTGGTGAGCTCATCACTCGAAATTACCAGAAGAACTAACAGATGTGAACTATATTTTGCAGTAAGTGCAATGTAAAGCATAGTCTTGTTACAGGTTCACTAATGCCGTTGTTTTTCTCACTCAGAACACTAGACAATACTGAAAACACATCCTACTTTTTTAGTTAAAAGCATCTTAACAGTTTCTAACTGTTACTTCCTATTGTTTTCATCACATTTTAGGATGTGTCATTTTTGAAGCATATATAAATGGCCTGCAAACATTCGACTCCTTACGGAAGATCGTGGATTCGTCTAATTTAGATCCAATATTACTTTTGGTATGGTTTGTTTCATTTCCTCTTGGCTTCCTCAAGTTTTTGATAATTGTGATGCTGCGTCATTATTTTCTCTTTTTCTAAAAGCGTATACAACTCATGACTTATAGCGATGGGTAGGTTAGTTGTATGAAACTGTAAGTTACACAGATAAGTTCATGAGATAGGAATGAATGCAAGTGATGAGTCCCAGTTTACTGACACGCTAAAAGCTGCTGTTTATTTTTTGTTTGCTGGTGGATATGATAGCTAATCTATGCGGGAGGGGACTAAATTTCTACTGTCAGTAGTGTTCAATCAAGGAAATAAACAGAGTTCAGTCTTCACCAAACAAAGTACTAGATGGCTAGTGGTAATTACTAACTAGTGTCTAATCAAGGTATCCAAAACAGTCCTACTGGCGGTCAGTCGTCAGCCCGAATAGCTCAGTGATAATGTCCCTTACTGCAGCGTTGGTTGGTGATGTGGGCTGGAATCTCACGAGAGACATGAGTTCCTTCAAGATTACAGAAACGCCTTGGTGACAGACGATGCCAACAAGGATGAAACCTAGGCTGTAGGCTTCCCGCCGATTGCCTCCATCCATGTAATAACAGTTGATAATACATATTATATTATCGGACACCTTTGATAAATTGATTAAAAGAAACCTGTAAGTAACTGATTAACTAAAAACTTTCTAGTTAGGTGTCTTAGCAAATAATATAAGTTGTTGTGTGGTGAGAGCAGGCTGCTAGCCAATTGGTAGACATTAATCTACGTCAATGTCTAGGTCACTAATATTGGCCGTGAGAAAATATGAACAAGGCTGATTCAACGACCAATCACAGCAGACTTAACGTGGGCAAAAAGATTCGCAGATATATGGCTTAACTTTCCGAGAAACCAGAAATAATATCAGAAGACTGCGTTTGTCTACTTGAATCAGCTATAATAATGTACATGAAATATATATAAATACGTGCTGATTTCCGTAATAAAACGATCTGTTGCGGCCCTTGTCTTCTGTTGTTGCAGTTGTACTTTTAAAATACTCAGTTTTCTCTTTAAATGTTCCTCTATCTCTTTCTGATTTAAATTTGCAAGCCATAGATGCTTTTATCATCGGTTTAGCATTATGCATATGTATGTCTTTGGTGTGTTTGTTTTTATTTCTTTACGTTCCAAGCTTTGAATATTTAGTAGCAGTGATGTTTATTTTTATGGGGTGCGGTTGGTAGTCTCACGCCCAACCTTCCGTCTTTCCTGGGCGTAGACGAGCTAGTCCAAGGTAAGGTTTTGGGGGTACGCTGACTGGGGGTCGAACCCATGGCCACGTGGTTGGCTGGCTGGCTGGCTAGCGTTCGTGCTACTGACGAGAATTTGTAAGCAGTGTATATCATATGATGTCCTCTGCAAAAATCTTAAACTAAGAAGCCACGAATGAAGTGTGGAACAAGAGAAGTGTAGGAAAGCGTGAATCAGTGTAGAAATGAGGAGGAAAAGGCAGAATACTAATACTTTGTGCAAACTAAATTGTCTGTATAAGATTGTTTACTGTTGGAACTTACATCTCAAGGTTTGTTTTACACGTAAGATTTTCTTTCAATGACCCCTTTGAATTGTAGTTTTGCTTCACTGCCTTGACCTCACTACTCAACTCAACAGGCGGTATTTTTGTTGTTTTCTTTACTGTTTTTGAATTCTTAATAGTTTTCTTTCGTCTTGTTTATACTAAATGAGGACAAGTACTTAAATTTGCCAATTTTAATCTATCGGATGCATCATATATTCTGTTATATGCTGTATCGAATTCTTCTTGAACTATTGTCATCATCATCGTCATCCTCAGAAGGAGAGAACAAAGAAGAAGAGGACGAAGAAGAAGGAGGAGGGAGTAAAAAAGGCGAAAGGAAAGAAAACGATAAAATTTCTGAAGAATATTTTTATGAATTTCTTGATATTAAAAATAAGAAATCCACTTCATCGTGCACAAAATTTGAATTAATATGCAAGCAAATTTATGTGTATTGTTCAAACAGTTGCCATTTATCCTCAGCCTATTTGATTGCATTGATAATGCGTTGTCTATTGTTTCAAATATGGCAAACATTTGAATCAGAAGAGAATATCCTGGAAGTGTTATTCAAGTGTATGCAAGTAGGTTAGCGTAAATATTTATTTTTTAATTTATTTTATTTCCTTAATGATCAGCTTTATTCGATGAATATTATCTGTGTGTGTGTGTGTGTGTATGAAAAGGCTAACCGTTTCCGATCACAGTTGTCTGCGTTCTATCTCCCATGCTGGATGGTATAATAGAATGAGAGATATTGAGGTTAGGTGAGGAGTGGAAGACAATGGATACAGTTGTGAAGTTACATTGATTGAGATGGTTACGACATGTGTTACGACGCATGCCTGCCTAGCCATCGATCACCTTATTGGACAGGCAATGTTAACTGACGTAGGTCAGACTGGTAAAGGACTAGTGGTGATCAAAAACTAAAACTTGGAGTCAGTTCATGAAATCTTTGGCAGTTTGTTCGAGCCACATGGGGAGCTGAAGGCTTCCTGGTTTGTATTCTTCAGGATTTTTAAAACCATTTGCTGGCTCAAAATTGTTATGAATGGAGCAGATGCATTCACTTTTTGTAAATCTGTCATATCCAGAGTGATTTCAGACTAATGAAGGTGTACCTTGCCTTTCCGTTTCTGCCTTTGAAATCTTCACTATTTCAGCCTGTGGTTGGAAAGATGCTTCCTAGATAAGTGAACGGAGTAACCTCTTTCAAATATCTTCCGTTGATAGTAATTGGTGCTGTTTGTTGTTATTGTTGGCTGGTTACCTTCATCACTTCTGTCTTCTCTATGTTCACGCGAAGTTCTGCCTTTGCTGCTTCTTAACCAGTTTGTTGGTTTTCATCTGTAAGTCTTGGAATTTATGTGACATTAGACGTGAATCATCCTCAAAATCCAAATCCCAATACTAAATATCATTTATGAACCATACAGTTGTCGAAATGAATTGCGTACTCCTTTGTCTAAACAGTCACTGTTAAAGAAATCATATTTCTCCCAGGGCAATTTGGCGAGCTGAAACTACATCATTTCGGTCAGTTTATTAGGCAGACAAACTATAATGTAATTCACATTCGTATTCTTATTGGTGTCAACAATTTACAGTCTTAGATATCAATGTGATGTTAAGGAACGAACAGTAACTTATAGTAGGCAGGACAAAAACACGTGTCTTACCGGTGTATAGAAGACGAAATCAGAACTGATGTTTTCAACGTGGACATCTGGTTCATTGGCTTAGGCACTCAACTCAACCATTGGGTCCCGGATTCTAGACCCACTTCAGCCTGAGTAGTATAGTCAGCACTAAGGCAATAAACGTTAGGCTTGTTGCCTGTAACGTAGGGAAGACGTGTCCCGGGAATAGACTTGTAGTCTGGAAGCAGGAAATCGATGTGTCCTTCAGAGAAAGACACACGGTCAAGAAATACTCCAGATACAGCAAAAAGAAGATTAGTCGCTGCCAGAACCTGTGGTCCTATTCAACAATAATAACATCCGAAACTCAAGGTTGCCTCAACAGTACCGTTAGGCAGCTATACGGTCAAGGTGATTTTGTTAGTATAAAAGAAGTACTTAGAATATAGTAGAATATTCCTAGCGATGTGGGGTCAAAAAGTCTGTTCACAAGAATCACACACCAACACTTCCCGCAGATAGACCAAGGTCAGAATGATCTCGAATCACTCACACAAAATCACATTATTAATGTAAGCACAACGACAAAGAGAAGCATTAAAATGAGAGATTAAACGGTGAGAAAGAGCAAATAATAAGGGTCAAGTCAACATATGATGATATGCAGATGTGAGAAGAATGCTAAAGAGTCTTTGAGAAAAACGTATAATGATTACTAAGTAGGTGAAACATACAAATAAGTATAAACATTTTAATTAAATCGCTCAGAAGGGGATTTTCCAAACAGTTATTCCGTTACATTGGTAACATTGATGAAAAGCTCAGCACCTAATATCCAATCATCAACTTAAGGATTTGCGTAACAGGCAAATGATGGTATTACCATCTGTTGTGTGTGCGTGTGTGTTTTTTTGTAAAAGTTCTCATACGTATAAACTTTTGAATTGATTGCTTTAACTGCAATATCCTGCTTCCTTAAATTCATCTGTTTGGTTTTTGTTTTTACAGCATCCTGAATTCACAGTCAATAATTCTCCTGACAGTGGAGCTGAAATTGAAAATAATAATTCTGTTAATCAATCAATTGAATTCAAAATACCTTTGAGAGTATCATCAAAATGGAATGCTGACTTTATACCAAATTTACAGCAGCTTGTTGATAAATGGCATCAAACTTGTGCTCAGTTGGAAGGTGTCCTATCGATTGGATTAGTGTTGTTATGTCCAGTGTCCAACAAATCAAAAGATGCAACGCCCCAGCGTACTTTTGATTTCAATTTACAATGCGTATTGACTAATGGTCGTTGTAAGTGAGATTTCTCTCTTCCTCTGGCACTGCTTGAAACATTTCTTCATTTATATGAGAATAGAAGTTAGGCACTGTAGTAATGTGTAGTGTGATAGAGTCATGCATTTGATGTAGTAGCATAGTTAGCTAGTTAAGTCTCAGTTACCCAGCATTCGGCTATAAGTCACATGTATTGTGTGAGGGCCAATGATACTACCCAGTTGACTAGGCTGAAGTAGCCAGGGTGGGACTCGAACCCGGGACTGGAGTGATTATTTACCGATGATATTAATAGTAATAAATAACACTGTAACACTGTGTACCATACCAAATAAATTAATTTCATTATGGCGTATGTTGCCATATATATTAAAAGGCATAATGTGCCTATAGAATTCGTGACTGTCCCTTTTCTTTGTCCCACCACTGTTTGCAATGATAATAGCTAAAATAATAAGTTAATTGAAATAGTGTTAACATAAATTACAAGTAGAAGATAAAACAGTCATTACTTATTTTGCTAATTACGCAGTAAATTGTAAGTTTTGCGCTTAACACTTTCTCTATCGCATAGGACGTAAGCCAAATAGGGTGTGGTTGAGGTGTTCTGTGCTTAGGTGTGCGAGCATATGATAATTTTATAATGACTTCTAGTTCCATGTGATGAGAGGCAGTAAGGGATAATTGTGAATAAAGAGGGTGCTGAGAGTCAGACACTGTGGATTCAGCCCATTTCACTCATGAGTTCAGATGTCTGTCGACTACAACAGTAACGGGCTAACTTAGTGGCACACCACTTACCCTACTGACAACCTTTGGAATTCTTCGCACTATGACGTAGTCCCTTTTGAGTAACCCAGGAAGGACTAAAGAGGAGCAGTAAAGTACAATAGGTAAGATGCAAGAGTTAACAAATTGTAAAAGTAGAGGTGGAGTGATCGGTCATTGTCTTAACTTCTTAATGTAGAAAGCAAAACACTGTGCGAATTGAAGTTTCAGTGTACTATTGTTATTTGTTTGATGGTGACTAGCGATGGAATTCAAGATGCATATTTCGTTCTATTTGGGACTCGTTATCTGTAAGTAACCTCTTGAAAGAGGTTACTTCATTCACTTATCTAGGGAGTATTGTCTCAACTACAGGAGGAGCGGACGAGGATGTCAAATCGAGAATCTGGAAGGCGAGAAACACATTCATCAGCCTGAAATCAATATGGAAATCTTCGTCACTCAGCATCACCAACAAAATTCGGATTTTCAATACAAACGTAAAGTCAGTTCTTCTATACGGATCAGAAACTTGGCGGGCCACAAAGAATATTTCCAAAAGGTTGCAGACCTTTATTAACAACTGTCTTCGCTCAATACTGAAGATCAGATGGCCGGAAAGAATCACCAACAAGGAATTATGGGAACAAACAAAGCAAGAACCAATCGCCCAACAAATATGCAGGAGAAAGTGGAGATGGATCGGGCACTCGCTGAGGAGACCGTTGGGTGACATCGCGCGTCAAGCCCTCGAGTGGAACCCGAAAGGGAAGCGGCGTGTGGGATGTCAGTGCAAGGGTGACATGGAGGAGATCGTGTGAAGAGGAGTTGAAAGAGTATGGAATAACATGGATGCAGGCGAAAAGTACAGCAGAAGACAGAAGCAAGTGGAGACGTGCAGTTGAAGCCCTATGTTCCACTAGGAACCCAAGGGAGCAATAATAATATCTGAATGTAACTGCATTATCCAGTGAGTGATGGTGTTCCCACTGAGACCCGAACACAATACCCACGATTTCAAACGCCAAAGCGTTATTCCTTAGACCACTCAGGTCACGAGAACCACTTTCTGTACAACGGGTGTCAGTTATTATTTTCTTTTTAATTCACTTTTGATTTTGCTATCAATTGATTGGAACTAAATGTTAGGCCGCACTAGGAGACGACATATCAATAAAGATCGAACATTTCGGTCCAATCAGTTAACCGGAAAGCTAAAAGCGAGTTATAAACAGAGTAATACCGTTATATTTCGTCTTTGTTATGTAATTTTACATCCTGCTATCAAGCACTAATGTCTCAAAGATACAGATATGTCATAAATTTGTAGCTATTTCATCTGATTCCTTTCCGCCAAATGTGTTGTAATGTCTGTCTGTCTTTCTGCAGTATGTGACTGGAAGTTTTGATACACGAATTTTTCACTGGTCAATTTGTAGGGATTTGATTCGTCTGCAGTTCGATCATGAATTGGTATCACTTATGGAATCATTGAAAACCAAGGATCTACTGGATAGCTGTTTCGTTCCAGTTCAGAACTCATCAACAGCACGCACCCGCCGCCGGGGTTCGAACCCTGGACCTAACAGTTACAAGGCAAGCTAGGACGAAACGGAGTTGTCCAGTACTCCCTGGTTTCTAGGTTTCCAGGAGTCGGTGTAGTCCAGTCCTGTAACATCATCTTGCATTTGGTGGGAGCCAGTCGCATGCCAAACATTCGTAGATTGCAACTCAAGGTGTTCAGAAGACTCTGCGTTTTGTCTGCGTCCTCGCCTAGAAGGACTATATCGTTTGCATATTCCAAGTCAACGAGATTATTCCCTGGTAGCAAGTCAATCCCTGAGTCACTGAAGTCACTTAGGGTTAAGTCCATTAAACATCTATGATGAAGTTGAATAGAAAAGGGGATAATGGGCATCCTTGACGGACACCGCTAGTCATCCCCACTTCAGATGACAAGCCGCTGTAAGCCCTCACTTGGCTGTATGAGTACGAATAGAGTGCCTTAATCAGTGCAATGTATTTTCTCGTCATTCCCTTTACAACCAAGCATCTCTAGAGAACTCTCGATCGACAGATCGAATGACGCCTTTAGGTCAAGAAATATAATGATTGTTGGACGCCGGTAGGAATGCCTTTGTTCTAGAATCTGTCGGAGGGTAAAGATATGATCAATACACCCTCTTCCTGGTCTAAAGCCTGCCTGGCTCTCTCGTGTTTGTGCCTCCTGAGAACCACTTAGTCTACACATATTATTGAGCCTAGGACTTTAGTTACTATATTAGTCAAGCTAATCCCTCTGTGATTATCACAGGAAGACTTGTCTCCCTTCTTGTGTATGGGGATAATCAGTGACTCACACCAACCCGATGGGACTTCTTCTGATTCCCAGACGCTGCTTAGAACCTCAGTTAGTGCAGACAGTAATTTGTTTCCACCGTACTTAAATACCTCTGGAGTGATTCCATCAGGTCCTGCTGCTTTTCCTTGTTTCAGATTGGTGACAGCTTTAGTAACCTCAGTTAAGGAAGGAGGACCTGTGTCTATGTCCCATTCAGGGAGGTGTTAGATGTTCGGCAGGTTGATCGTGGCTGTAGGCCAATTAAACTGCTCCTCATAGTGTTCTTTCCAGTCGTCTATCATGGGAGCTAATTATGGTGCCATTCTTCTCAGAGACCTGGACCTTACAGTTACAAGGCAAACTAGGACGAAACGGAGTTGTCCAGTACTCCCTGGTTTCCAATGGTTATCTAACTGATATATATCAGTCTGTCAGTCAAACTTGATACACGATTTTTTCTTCTCTCTATTGGATGCCTGATATTTGCTACTTCGAAATCTCTCTCTTTCTATTTGCGTCCATTTTCGGTTTCATTTTCTTTTGTTGTTGTGTGATGTGGGACAACTTATACTGTATGTATATATTTGTGTTCGGAATGATATTTCAATGTGTGCGCGCTTGCAGCTGTCACATGGTTACCGATTGATATTTACCAAACACTTACCAAAATGTCCTTTACTGTTTTCATGAAATACCAATGCATGAATAGTTGTTTGTGTCATTTGTTTTTTGTTTTTTTTTAATTTTCTTGTCACAGCCTACTTAACAGCTTTATTTGCATCATGGATTGTAAAGAATAATATATCGGCTGAACAAGTTCTCAGTTTCTATCAAGGATTATGCACAAAATCATTGATAAGTGAAGATTGTAGTAGTACAAGAGATTTAGCCATTATGGATCCGGTCCACCTTAGACAAGGTATGTGCAAAATTCTTTTATATGGTATATGCATATATGGGAGTTGACAGGATTATGTCTTCAACAAAATAGTTTGTGAAAAGACTATTGGGAATTTTGCGTATTTGTGGCATTAACAAAAGTATTTTATTTTGCTGTCATGTTTCGTTATGTTAATACTATGTATTCGCTTTATCTGTAACTCTGTGTATTTTTAACCCCTTAACTATACTGTCTTTTACTTTCCTTTTTTATACGATACTTTTCAGTATTCAGTTGGTGGGTTTAACAAGAATGCGTTGATTGTTATTCACTATTGAGAGTTGAAATGCACTAGATAGTTTTTTTTAAATGCTGGTTTAACATTTTCACACAGCCAAATTAGTTCACAGCTGCGTATATGATCCCATTCAAGCTTGTCAATTTTCATGCCTTTTATGTTATCAATAAGTCATTGGTGTAAAACCGGTATTTTGTATTCTTAACCTTTGTGAGTTCACATTTTAACTTTGTCATTTAGTAAAGATCTTTTCTAGCTGCAGACTTCATTTTTGTCTCACTTCTTGCCTGGCGAGTGGAACATAGAGGGATTCAAACCATAATCTCTAACAGATAGTTAATCCAGTCTTACTTTAAGGATAAGATATCGCTTTTGGCCACCTCAGTGTGTATTTATCAGTTTACTTGGTCGTGTGGAGCAAAGTAGAATATCAACCGTGCGCAACGTCAAGTCCACAGACGTATTCTGGAACACTGTCCAGCCTGGTTAGCTAGAGGAGAAAAGAAGAATAGTAGCAGCTCCATCCTCTAACACCTTGTCAACTCTGTACATCGAGCACCCCCTCATGAAGGCTCCACGATGCTACATAGAATCTTTCAGTATCGTACAGATGGACTTTGCATACGCCATCTGCACACAGCTGAATCATTAGCTATTCGGGATCTGAAATCGGTCTCCTGCATTCAAAATCAATACATACATACACTCACCTTACCGAGGCCAGAGTAACGTTCTAACTATGATTTTGTTTCTTTTTATTATGAATCGTCGAAAAGAAAATTTCCTTCGCTGTTTACGTCTTTTTTTATGACTAAAATCATTTTCTTTGAAGTTCCAGTGACTGAGTGGTATTGCTCATACGGGGTGGAGTTGCTAGCCTTACATCTCCCACCTCCTGTCTTTTCCTAGATTCAGGAGTACTTTGTTGGGAATGAAACCCCAGGCCTCCTACATGACTGGCGAGCAGCATTCTACTATTAAACTAGCAACGCAACTCTTGACTAGATGGTTCTTAAAATTACAGATTTCCTTTGAATTTTTCGGGGATATCTATCACCAAATTATTTAATAGTCCGGGCATGGATTCTTAAAATGACAAATCTCGATTAATTTTTTGGGGGAATATCTGTCTAGAACTTAATTAATAATCGGGATAAAATTATAATTTCAATGTCAATCTAGTCAGGAACCAACACTAGTTAGAGCTCCTGGTTTGGGACATTTCAGCAGTGCGCACTAACGATCCCATTAGGTATCATAACAGGGATCTTCAGGTTATGAGGCCCAGCTAGCTGACCACTCAGCCACTACTCATGACTGAGTATTACTAGTATTCTACGAATAATGATAAATTATGACCAGTGCAGTTTACCAAGTTGAGCGTGAAGAAGAATACTTATCGATTACATTGGTTGGCGGTCACCCTATATATTGTGAATTGACAGAAATAAGATTCACTGAGTCATTAGATGTCGTCCGAGTAAGTGAGTGGTCAGTGAGCTCGCTTTATGACCCGAAGATCCTAGATTCGACCCTTGGTGAAGTCATGGGTGCTTGCCAATTAAGAGTCCTAGACTTGAACGAAACACCTGTCCAGTACTCGCTATTTTTCAGTGGTTTTCCAACTGAAGTCGCTTTGTGATCAAACTTGGAAATGTAAAAGAGCATGTGTATAACAGAATTTTCAGATGTCCATAATTTGTGTTGTCATTGGAATGTTTAATGCTTTTTTTAAGAAAAAATTTACAATCACTCATACCCCAATAAGTTTTTTATTTATACAAATAAATCATCTTCTTACTCGCAATTTTGTTTTTAAAATTCTTCTTTCCAGTGATATTTTCACTAGCCTATAAGCGTCTACCTTTCACACTGGAATTAGACACAGTTTTATCGACTGTTTGTTGGACTCACTTTCAAATTTGGCGGGAGAAACCTGAGGTAAGTGTGTGCTAGTGGATGGCGATCCGTCGTTTCTTTGACATAATGATGAATTATGTTGTACATATTAGAATAATGAAATAAAACATGTTGCTGGGTGTCGAACTAGTTCACACTAGTTCATGTAATAACGTGGTATTAACACAATGTATTGTTTATGATCATTATTATGTAATTGTTTTGTGATTGAGAAAAAGGTTTCTACAAATGTTTATTTTTATGCCTTGTATTTTGAAAATATCGTCAACATAAACTTTAAGTTCTAACATTTTCCCAAATGTTATGAAACACTGAAATTTTACGATGAAAGTTAGTTTCCCTCTAATTTTTGTTTCATTCCATACATTCCGATTGGGACGTACAGTTTCAGGCTTTTAAGTTTCAGCAAAGATGGTGGTGCTTGCCTTATGCTCTCAACCTCCCCTCTTTTCCAGGCTTACTGCTTGCTAACAGCAAACTAGGTGAGGCATAGAAGCACGTTGGCTAGGAATCGAGCCTAGACCTCCCGTGTAGTTGGTGAGCATTCTATCACTGAACCACCAAAATAGTGGCCGAATGGCCAACGAGCTGGAATCCTGACCTGACCTGAAAGTCCTAGATTCGATACCTAACAGGTTCATAGGTGCACACTGGCGAAGAGTGGCAAACGAGGATGAAATAGGTATCTAGTTCAGTCCTGTATCATCATTATGCTTTGTTGTATATCAAATTTTTAATTATGCGATTCCTATACTCTTTCTGTCACAATATGGGGAAAGTGCTAGTTAGTTTTGACTATCCTTAAAGTATTCATCTTATTATTCAAGATTAGCTCTATGGTTAAAAATTCTCTAATGAACTGCTTACTGTTAAAAGGAGCCCCCTAAGTAAGTGTAGCGACCAAAACCGACTCTGTGGTGTGAATGCAGGGAATCAAACGTTGCGTCCTACCGTATAGCAAACCCAAAATTTCCTTGAGAGACGCACAGTCACAAAACGCTTCAAAGACAGCCAAAGGACGATTACTCATTGATAGATCTATGCCGTTCTATTCAGCAATAACATCATCAAAAACTCAAAATTATCTCAACAGTATCGTTAGGTCGCTGTGTACAGGCAGTGTATGTTTCTAAGTACAAAACAAGTACTGCAGAATAAAATTAGCTAACCAAAATTCAAGTATGAGAAGTACCTTAAAATCAAGTAGAATATCTCCAATGAGGTGGGATTAAAACTCTGTCCAAAAGAATCATACAGACAGTATAAGGTCAGAATGATCTCGAATCACTCAAACTAAATCACACTATTAAAATCCACGCAACGACAAAAGAAGCATTAAAATGAGAGATTAAACAGTGAGAAAGAGCAAATAATAAGGATCAAGTCAACATATGATGATATTGCAGATGTCAGAAGAATGATAAAAAGTCTGTGAGAAAAAACGGATAATGATTATAAAGTTAGTCGAAACATTCAAATAAGCATAAAAATTGTTTCGCGATGACCCAACAAGTTAAACTGGCTGGAACCAATGTTCCTGCAGGTCCTACCATGCCAGGAAGGTTGTTAGGATAGCGATTAGACTAAAAGCAGTCACCGGCATTGTGTAAGAATCTTTCTAATACTGTGCTGGGGGTCTGTAGGCGAAGTCGTACTGCTGGGGAACAGGGATGTAACAGCAGTAAGGTGTTTCCCTCAGATGACCAGCATGCTAGCTATGTTGTCTCTCCACTCCGGAGAAAAGGGGTTAGAAAAGGTCGACCCGAAAATTGTACATCCCGACTTACCCTACAGTGGTTCGTAGCCGGTGTTAAGTTTACTAATACGGAACCAAACCAAGAAACCAGTTCATTCAGGCGGTGTGTGACCGGCCTCAAGTAGTTGTTCCCTGGGCTCCATGGTCACGCAACGCCAACGGTCTTTCTGTTTCAGGTACCCGATGAATCAATCAACTCCCACGGTGTGGGCAGCCGGGAAATAACAACCGGCCAGACACTTCGAAAATCACTTCGAAAAAAATTGTTATTTATTCGTTCAGAAGGCATTTCCCAAACAGTTTTTCCGTTAGAATAAGGACAACACTAGATTCTTGATCAAAAAGGAAAGGCAAATTTTCTTTTTCTTTTCAATTACAGGATATAAATAACTTGATTGATTGCATAGAGTTTCTCAAGAAATTCAGTTCAGCTGGGACAATGATTGCTCAAGGTTTAGGAACAATAATGTGGCGAAAAGGTCTTATAGATTGGCTTAAACCTATTCTTGATGTTGCAAGAGGCGATCATAGAGTAAGTCCTAAATTTTAAAAAAACACAACCCTTTTGTAAATACATAAGATTTATGGTCAAAGTTTTGATGACACACTTTAAGTGAACAGCGTACACAACATTCATTATTCAAAGTGCAAGGGATTTTACCCCTGGATTTATTTGCCCTTCTCATTATGACTCACATGGGACTATCGTGACTCGCAGCTATCCCTAGGTTGCAGTATTGGTTACCATAAGGAAACAGGCCTGTAGGTTGTAAGAGAATAACAGAAACTGTTTGAATAAATGGTGTGGTAACCAAGCGAATGACACGAACATATTAATGCTTGTTATTATGGGTGCTTAACTGAATACAATCGTATCATCAATGTATATTTGAATTGTATTGTTCATTAACAAGTTTTGCTGCGTACAAGAGAACTCCACTTGTTGCTAAGTAGAATTATTCACGTGTTTTTTATTTCACTCAGTACAACGAATACGCATTGTTGTAGAGGAATTCTCGATAAGAAACAATTCAACAGTTGAAGAAGAATACTCAAAACGTGTAGCACTATGTGGCTATTATTTCCGATAATGTCATAAACTTAATTTCTAAGCTATTTGATTGACATTAAATTTGTTTACAACATTGTCAAACTACCTCCCGTATCCATAGCCACGCACACAGTCATATTTGTGTAAATGATTTGATTTGTCAAGGGGCCTGAGACTCGTAAGATATTTCAGCTTTTAGTCAATGAGGTAGGAGTTTGAATATGAACCGTCTGGTTCTGATGTGACCGTCAACACAGCCTGATAATTTCCGAGTCTCTTGCGCTAAATAACCTTCGCACCTACTGAGTAGATTTTTAAGCCTACTGTTCTAATCACTATCAGGAACGACAATACGATTCCACCGATATGCGCGAATCATAAAATAAAGAAGACAGACCGTTTACAACGGGAGAGCTTTTAGTGTCTCGAATCAACAGCATAAAAACTTGACAGCAATTCCACGAAGGTAGCTTCCAAGTGACCTTGAGAGACGCTAATTTCATTGGTATGGCAAAACAGTCCACAACCAATAAGGTCCAGCCATCATAATGGGGGAAATACAAATATTGAGGCATGGTAAACAAAGATAATAAATAATTGTTTAAGGCTTCGCGGGAAAAGTATTTGTATGTAATACGGTTCCTTTTTACAATAGATAGCATTATAGGTTTACTATTATGGTTCTTCTTTGTTTTCTTAAGAAAATACCTCAGTTCGAAAAAAGTGGTGCTTATTTTCCAAGGATATCGGATGTGTCAATGTGCTTAATCGATTTTTTTAAAATTTACTCCTATGTAAGTTGTTTATATATAAAGATATCTATGATATTTGATAATATTTTGATTTTGTTGTTGCTTTAGTTTACTAAACAATTCCAGCTTACTTTTAGTAACAGAATCACTCAAAAAGAGTAAACAGTTGAAGGTTAATTTAGTTTCTAATTAAATTTTTATATTGACACTTTTGACAGTTGTTGATTGACAGTGTGTTTTCTTCTTCTTCTAAACTATCCATTTAACATATTAAGAGAGCTTTCTACAGACGACATTATCTAATCCAGGTGGCAAGATTAATTCCCACAATGTACATTACTGCATGAAATGATTGGTCGAATATGAGCAGAATCATATGTGTTCTAGTAATTTGGTGGATGGTGGTGACTGACTAGCAGTGGAATCCACGATGCGTATTTCGCTCTTCTTGGATCTCGTCATCTGGCTGTACCTGCACTCTCCAGTGAGTGATGGTGTTCACACTTAGGCTCATACCCATGGTTTCAAACTCCAAAGCTTTATCCACTAGACCACATGGGTTATGAGAACCACCTCTTGTGTGCAACGAGTATTGGTTATTATTTAATTCAGTTTTGATTTTCCTGTATATTGATTGAACCAGATGACAAGTTTCAAATAGGATGAAATGCGCATCTTCGATTCCACTGCTACTCACGGTCCACCAAATCGCTTCAGGTTAGATCCTCAGATGTTGTCGAAGCATCCGCACAAGGAGATAACATGTCAACAAAGGCCGTACACTTCCGTCCAATCAATCAACAGAAAAGTCCAAATTGAATTAAAGATTCTGATGTTTTTATATCATCGTGATTAGAATAGTAAAGTAATTACTCACTTTAAAGAAAGTAATTACCATACACTATCGCTTGACATATTGTAAAATAGAAACGTAATATAAGTGTATTCGGCTATTATTACTTTTGATGAGTTGATCACGGATTAATATCAGGAGGAGAACCATTGAAAACCAGGTGGTACTGGATGTCTGTTTCATCCTAGTTTGGGAATCACCGACAGTACTCATCCACTGGGGTTTGAACCCGCCAAACAACCCTTCGCATGATTAATTCCTGTGCCACTAAGTCTATGAGGATTAAATGCAGCTATTTTGGTCTTTTTTCCATTATTCAACAATATTCCAAATTGCGATGTTTTATTCCATTTATGTTCCGAGTGAAACATAGACACTTCAAGCTCCAGCTATGAAGTTTCGGTAGCAGTGATGTTGTCCTGTTGTTGTCTTTGAGCAACACTTATTATAGGAGGATTAATGTTACTACTCAAATTCCCGAAGTGCCGTTTGAATCTGCCTCCCAATGTCTGAAAGTCTCGTGTTTAAGTCAATGAGCCATATTTCAGCATTAACATTAACCTAGTTATTCTACGCGTTATACATACCAGGTAATATGATGTTGTTATCATCTGAAATGTTATGAGAAGATAATTACAGCCGTGCGGATTTGAAAATCTATGTGTATTGTATTGTATGTTGAGTTAGAGAAAACTCAGTGTATGCAAAGCAGTTATTTTCTACTATCAATCAACCCCCAATTTCATTGTATGTTGTCGTTCACTATATGGGAGTTTATCACGGGAAATTTTCATTTGTTTAAAGTTCGACTATTAAAAATCACTTCTCATCCGAAAGTATTCACTGGAGTTTTCGTATTATTCTGCATATGTGTTTTTGGACCGTGCTGGAGACTTTTCCGCTTTGCTGACCAAAAGATATCAGTGAATCTTTAGTCAACTAAAGAAGATTTTCCTCCAGATATGGTGCAACAGTTCCAAATTGAATCCTGAGAATTGTTATATGACTAATTTCCTTTTAGTAGGGCTGGCTAAATTTATGTTTGTTAAGTTTTATCCACATTTGTTTATGCGCATATTGTAAATTGATTGTAGCACGAGGAGATCGCGTTTTGTAGAGTTAACTTCCTTCATCGCCCCAATTAATCATGAACTAAAAATTGACCAACATCGAAAATTGATTCTGGATACTATACAGTTGTTTACAAAGATTTATCCTATAATCTTTTCTACAGTTTTTCAGTCGTAACAATAGTAAAGAGGTTTGTAAGTCCGAAAGTAAATGGATAATGACGAGAACCTCTTATCGATCTGATGACCTGGAATCACCAGCTCGTCTGAATGTCAGCTATGAATGATATTTGTTCAACTCTTAACTGTCGCTGTCTTCTTTCTTAGATTAGGATTAGACACGTAAACCAGGCTTTTCACCGCCCTTACTTGTGTTGAAGGTTATTAGTGTGTTCCCGCCTTTTGGGTGTCTGTTCTTTTTCTTTAAATGGTTCATTGATCTTTAACTGAATTACAGTAATTTTTATTAAAACATAAACTTGGAACACTATGTGGACTCAGATGTACGCCAAGAAAGATTTCATATTTGGTTCTAGTGCAACGATACTGTCACGATGCGAAGACCGAAGTATGTGGTTGTTTCAAGGAGGCTTCTCGCTGAGTCTTTATCGTGAAGTCTGATCCAAATCGCAGCGGAGCATCGTCAGGAGATGAGTTCCTGTAGTTTCCGGTTACCAAAACAGGTTCTTACGCCAATTTATTCGTTCGGATCATGGAGTCCATGTACTACATAAGTTTGAAGTCACGGTTTTCCAACTCTCCCAGGTAGACCAGGATGTCCACCGGTCTAGTTGTAAGTACCAGGAGTTGCAATTCCCCCATTCACTTTTGCTAAGAATACCCTCGTAGCATTAAAGCAATGAATAAGACCTACCTGTCAGTGTCAATTAAGATGTGGCTACATGAGAGCACTTCGAGGAAAAAAGCCGAAGTATACTTACCCATAGCCGTACCAGGTCGTTTATATGGGGTCAGTTACAGCAAAATGATGTAGAACATTGCGACCTTTTCAAATTCCCACATATATTTACTTTAATATTACATGATTTAGTAAGTCTTCGTTTTCATGATGAATGCTAGTTTTCCCTTCTTCCTTTTTTCTATTACGTGAATAAGTGTATGGTAATTGAACCTTTTACTAACTGCTGTATATCTCTTTATTCTACTTTTCTATAGGTATGCCAACGTGCTGAAGTAGTGCCAGTTTTCTCTGTTGAAGCTGAATGGAATGATCCGGATAGTTTTGATGACAAATCATTACATGTAACTAGTCGAATTCACAAGGATAATGAGGGTATTGATTCAACTGATTTAAATACAGTAGATTATTCACCTTCTGAATGTCTTACCAATGAAATGTCTTCAGAACGTTCTTTTAAGTCAGATGGTGCATTTGATCGAAAATTTTCTGTACAAGATACTGTAAACCAACCAATTCCTCAGTTAACCTCAATTAACTCATGGGAACAAGTTGTTATTGTTGCTTCAGCATTATTGGTTTTCGGTCGACCTGAAAAATTGAACAAGTCTAATCAACAAGCTACAGATACAAAATTCTATTCTCTTTCAGATTTTTTCCCACCACAAGTATGTTCGGTTCTGTTGTCTGAGATGCATTCTAGTTTGGTATATACTTTTTTTTATCAAGGTTTCTTTCTCCTCATCTATTTACAATCTCAGTTGAACTATTGTGATAATGTTTTTAGAGGCTGATTAATAGCCTACGACTGTTTTATGTAGTACCCCTTGTAGGTGTTTAAAGTTGTTACTAAAATAGGGAGGTAATCGGCAGGAGGCCTTCAACCTAGGTTTCATGCTTGTTGACACTCACCAGTCAGCAAGGCGTATATTCACACTTGAAGAAAATCATGTTCCTCCTGAGATTTGAATCCGTGTCACCCAGTGTTACAGTCAGAGACATTGCCAGTAAGCTATTGTGGTTCACGATTGACCTCCTGCAGGATTGTATTGGATACTTTGATTGGACACTAGGTAGTAATTGATGTCATGCGTCCAGTCCTTTGTTTAGTATAGACCAAATTCTGTCAGTCAAGTTTGCAATGTGGCCCCGCGCTAGGTGGTTCTATATCAAGATGCACTCATGACTGCTGTTATTAGATGGTTGGAAGCCTTGAACCTGCACCAAACAAAGGAGTAGACGCATGATACTAGTTACTAACTAGTGTCTAATCAGGCATCTTATATGTATATTTCACATTCGACGCCTATACTACTCATCAATCGCTTATATAGGAGTTGGCATGGGAGGGGGCGGTATTTGCACAAAAAAGCCATCGCATGTTTCAACCTGTTACGTACATGCCTATGTATTACATACAAAATTCTGTAAACATTTTCTTATGTTTCAGTAAAGTTTAGTGTTGTATTGTTTAATAGTGGTAGATATACAGTTGTTATCTTAGTATATGCACTTTTTCTCGATGAGAATTATTCACTAATTCTTATGAGTGTAATGTGTTACTTTTTCACAGCCTATATATATATATATATATATATATATATATATATATTCCTTAATTATCCTTAGCGAATTCATATGTGCGAAAAGACTGTGTATATTGTTTGATGCTTCGTCTGTTTGTAATACACCTACTCCACATGATTGGTGATCTTGATTAGAGGATTTTTCAATGAAGTGTTTTCTTTTGAGATAATAATAGATTTATTGATTGTGATCATATTCCTTGGAGCGCGATAGTCCAGTTTGAAATAGAAAATAAAACTAAATCGTATTTTGAATGGTTAGGTTGAACATTCTACTTGAGGCATTCATGAAATCTACCTCATGAATACCTCTTAATTTCATTTCCATCACTATGGATTTTATCCAGTGTTATGACGTCAATGATAAAATAAGTTCCTCGGGATGTTGGCAACAGTATGTCTGTTTACTCTCATAACTCTATCATTTCAACTCGAACATGAGTCTTCAAGCTTTGACGCCCCAGTAGAAGTGGTATTGTTGTTTTTATGAGATGAGGTTGCTAACCTTCATCCCCAACTTTCATTCATTTCTGGGTTTACTATTATCTAAGCTTAGTTTGTGTGTACATTGGTTGAGAATTGAGTCTCATAGCTGGCTGGTGAGCAATTGATCATTGAACTACTGACGCCATTTTTTTCGATAGTGTGTTCATTCGAATATAACTGAAGACTAACAGGTTTATGTGATAAATTGGATTCCATTGTGGTTAATATGATGAAATTTGATCCATTCTAGTAATTTTTTAGAGGTTTCTGAGTGTTTTGAAACAGTTTCACTAAGTCTGTTAGTTTCGAAAAGATATCTTACTCCTTAATTAGAATCAGGACATGATACATAGAGTCTATGTATATTCTATTGTCTGTAAAACTGTTTCGAGAGAAATATTTGTCTGGTGATTATTATCCTTTAAAAGCATATTATTTATTTTGATTTCGCTGTTGATAGATTGAATCGAAATATTCAACCGTTGTTTTGTTGAATTAAAAGTAAAATAATAACGCACACTCGTTGCACAAGAGGTGGCTCTCGGGGCCCAGTTGGCCTTGTGGATTACGCTCTGGTGTTTGAAACGATGGACATTGGGTTCTCGAGCCTCAGTGGGAACACCATCACTGACTGGAGAGTGCAGTACACCTCCAGCTGATGCATCCCAAATAAAGTGCAATGCGCATCGTGGATTCCACTGCGTGTCATCATCCACCAGACAGAAACAGCAAAATTCATCTTTGAATATAAGAACAACAAAGTTCAGCGAATAGACTGCTTTCGGCGTCGAATTCATTCACTCAGCTGTACAAAATTAGTTAGGGTTACTGTTAACTTCATCAAAATGCTTCTAAAATGTGATGAATAATCGAAATTGTTACTAGGGGACTGAAGATTGTTAAGTATTGATAAGGGTTGCGTAATATGAAATGAGATGATAATGGAGACACGTGTCCAAAAAACAAATTATGTAATAGGTGGAAAGAGTAAATAAAGGGTTGTTTAAGAAGATGTTACTAAGATGCTATGCGAAAATTCCAAAAACAAAAAAAGAAAAAAAACATTAATAACAAAGTTGTAGAACTTGAAATTATACCCAAGGTAGAAGGAGGGGGTGGAGAAGTTTCTTCTGTGTGCACAAATCAGGGTTTTGTATCCGAATCGCCAAGGCCTCCTTGACAATGCAAATTACACGGAAGCTTACCGTTTTCGGCAGGCTTCTTTTGACTTTGTAGATGACTTTGAATGAATTCTCCGTGCATATTGAGTGACCAGTGTTGACCATATAATCACTTTATAGTACTCCTTATTGATCCACTGTTAAGTTTTCGTAGGCAAGCGGGATAATGTTCTTTTACTCATTTTGGATAAAACACGCATTGAACGACCTGTATATCTCTCTCCACATGAGCCAGTAAGTTGGTAGATACACATCTTTGCAAAGTCGAAAAATTCACTCTTAATTTCTCAGCAAAGCTCGTCACTTTTGTCTTTTTGAATTATCTAACCAGTAAGATGAAGTTTTCTTTTGAATTTATGAATTTGCTTTTCAATTCCCTTCATATGATTTACTTTAAAAGGATATTTTGTGTAATATAGATGTTGTATGCATAAATATTTATGTTAAGAGTACACGTTTATTGAATGTATTAATTAATTAATTGATCTTTTTTAGGATTTGTACATGTTACTCTCACCTAATGATCCCAACTGGATTAGTACTTCTGTTGGGAAAGATGTTGGTGATAGCCTTATGATTAGCCGGCGATTTTTTCTATCCTGGTTAATTGAAAGATGTGTTTCATGTCTTTCACTCTCACCTGTTTCACAATATTCCAATCGATCTGTCATGGAGAATGACGATGAAATACCCTTAGATGACTGTATGAATAATCATACTTTTGAAGCTGTAGAAGTTTATCGCCGGTTTAGTTCTGCTGCTTTTACTCTAGCTCATCATTGGAATTTACCAAAAGACACAGTCACTATACTGCATGTAGTTTCTTTGTTTGAGAAACATTTAGACGACCAGGCACTACTTGTAAGTTCTCTTTGTATTATTTTTCCCCACCAAGTTTCCTTTTCTTATAGTAGACTTGACTAAAAACATCATATCTTTACAAAGTAAAGATGAAAAATGCATTTAAATAGTGCGTATTCACAGTTATTATGCTGGTGTTGGCTTGTGGTAGAATTCAGGACCCTTTCAGCAGGACATACACTGCATCCCTATAAATTGACAAGTCCTGAAAAGAATGAAATATCCGTCATAATTCCACTTCTATCCAACACTAATCGAATAACATCATGTTATTTTGATTGATGGTGGCTAGCAGTGGAATTCATGATGTGCGTTTCGTCCTAACCGGGACTCTTCATGAGGATGTGTCTGCATTCCTGTTGAGTGATAGTCTTCCCACTGGGACTCGGACGTTGAACCCACCATTTTAGACGGCAAAGCACTAAGCACTTGGCTACTAGAGCTGTTTCTTTTGAAACCTGTATCACGGTGGGTACAGTTTCAGTGGGTAGCTCCATGACTCAGTTAGGGGGTGCAGGTACATCCAGCTGTTTAGTCCCAAATAGAATGAACTGCAAATCTTGGATTCCATCGCTAGTTACCACCAATCGAAATAACTTTCTGTCAATCCTTAGGTATCGTCGAAGAGTCCGTAATAGAGGTGGGAACATGTCATTTCTGTTCAACACAATCTATCGACAGGAGATTCGAAATTAACCTGAAAATCAACGAATTACCTCTAGTTTAGCTACCTGAAGGCATCGACGTAGCGTCTCAGGTCGTAGGGCTGTTAAATTTTCTGTACGTTAAAACTTAAGTGCAAGGTGTTCACCTGAATCAAATTGAGAGAAAGTGGATATGAGAATATCTTTTTCATATCCATATTAGATTTGGAGTAACGTCATATAATTCTCTTCATATATTTTTAAATATATAAATGCAAAGAAGACAGTTATTACTGCAAAGGGAGTAAACTCTGTCGCTATGGTAAAAAGAAGCATTAAAATTCGATATTTTGAATCAGATAAGTTTTCCAGAAGAAAAAAAGTGACTTGAATTTGAATCTCAAATGTTTGCAGTATTAAATTACTGTTCATTTTATTATCGAGGTTTTTTGATGGAAGATTTTCACTAACGATAGATACATTTTGAGGAGACTCTGTGAAAATATCATATCACTTCGTGAAAATAAAAGAATTTCAGTACAATGTAAATGTCAGCTAAATACCTATTATGGCCTAGGATAGGTGGTTGACTTTGATCTACGTCTCGAAGTGCGTTCAAAACCCCTCAGCCAGGTTAGTCTCATTCACTGCCTTCAAGAGGCGGAACTGTTCCTCACAAAAGTGAAGAGGAGAATTTGAACGGTTGTCACTTACGACCGGACTGATGGACATGCGCTCTTCTACCTGTAGTGTACACATGGCTCCGTAGTGCGAAAATTTCGAATGGTGTGTAGACCTGTTTTGGTCACTGGGAACCAAGTGAACTCAACTGCACACTGTCTTATGGATAAGACTTGAAGTCAATGCATCGGGAAGTGGCCCCTTGTGTTTCTATCTTGCTGTCGGCGCAGTATCCTATCCCTTGTACAAACTTTGAGACTTTATGAGGCGCATCTCTTAATGGTCATAATGTACCAAGTTTGTGTTGCAGTAATCCAATAGTGGTATATCAACTAAAACAACTGGAATTCCTTCATTGTTAGTTTAGTTACTTTAAGCTATGATGAAAGGCAGTATCATCTTTCTTGGTGTGTTGCTCTCAGCAGCATGTGTAGCATCACTTGTCGGAGATTCTAGTTGATGATGATGATGACTAGATTCATTTGAAGAAGTGCAGATGTATTAGGTCTGCGTCAACTTGAAAATTGTAAACCAAAATCATCTCGCTTGTACTTATGGACATCCATTGTTGCACTTCCCTCAGTCTGTACATTTCCTATATACTGATTGATTAGTAAAATTTACTTTAAATAATTTTCTGCATTGTATTTATTTGGGCTTTAGTTATCGTGATTTGCATGTATCACTTCATTTAACAGTATAAATTCATCTTTTCAATATTTTTAAAAAATTATGTATATTTTATTATTGAATAGTTCTTGTCAAAAGTTCAAGATCCAACAAATTTGGCTGTCCGTTTGTTATTCATCATTGGTCGTCGTATAGCCTATCGGTGTTATGGTTCAGAGTACAATGCTAAACAAACATTACGTTTACGTGTATTTATTCCGCTGACAGTTGAATCATGGCTTCGTGGTTTATTACCTGTAAGTAAAATGAAAATACTTTCTTTTTCTTTCTGTGCTTTGAAGTTTCTCTAGCGATCCGGTTGATTTTCCTGGAGAGGGTCGCCAGTTCCACATGCCCCTGACCTCCCTCTGTTTCTGGGCTTAGAACCGGCTAGTAACCATTGAGTGACATCTCTCGAGTGGAGTCCCAATGAGGAAGGATGAGTGTTGAGCATGGCTCCGAGGGTGACATGCAGGAGATCGTGGTAGGTGTAAATGAGAGCTTTTGGACAATCGTCGAGTCAAAGATAAGAAGGACTGTAGAGAACAACGTGAAGTGGCGATGTGAGGATGAAGTCCTATGTTTCATTCGGAATCTAATAGAATAAGAATAATGAAAATATTTGTTTCAGGCTAGACCAAGAATTGATTTCAGTTAGAGGACCACTGAACAGCTGTTTCATTCTAGTTTGGGACTCATCAGCAGAATCCCTACAAACCAGTTCTTGAAAACTAATCTGATGTACGCTGGTGACTGGCTGCAGGACGAAGTTGCCTGGAGTTCTAGTAAGAAGTCGTGACCAGTGAGGTTCATCCAGTAGGGGTTGAGGATAGATTTCCCGCCGATGACATTGGCTGGTTGTTGCGCTAAATCTTAAATCGGTAGAAGCTAGAATTCATGGGCCGTCGAATTGGGTTCCACTGGTTGAGTGGTATACTAGCTTGCTTTGTAACCGGGAGGTCCTGTGTTCCAACCCTGTCAGTAAGTGCGTACTGCCAATGATTCCCAAACTAGGATGAAACAGCTGTCCAGTACTCATTGCTAGTTCTCCAGCTAATATCAGTCCATAGTCAGACATGAAACAAATAGAATCCCTATAAACCAATCCCTGAAAATAAAAGTATTGGTTGTTTTCTTTTTGTTTTTGTTAACACATTTCATATCAATATTTTTCTTCCACATTTTTCCTCTTAGGTCACAGAGTCAACCAGCAGTGAGTCAGAATATTGTCAGAATTCTTTTCAACCGACTTCTGTATCAGCGGACTTGGAGAAATTACCTCCTCTTATTGACTATGTAATAGAACACCTCCCACGCCACACTGGTCAACTGTCAATAGCCATAGAACTACGCGATATTCTTCAAGCTATTGTACAGTCAGATACTATGTAATACTTCTAAAGTGAAGAACGTCTGTACGTTTTTATGTATTACGTCTGATGTGTGTTATACTCAACTTTCCAATTTTATGCACACACAACAAGCTGTGTTTTTTTGTCACTAGTTTGATAGGCATAAGCGCTAATATATTTGCAAGTTTGAAACTTGATTACATATCAATTTAACAGAGAAAGAAATCACCTTGTATTCACAATGATGCTTAAGGCGTAATTGTTTCTCTCTTTTCCTCTTTCCGTCTGTCTGCCTGTTAGTCTATAGATCTGACTACTTACTTAGTGTATGGTTCAGTTGTATATTCTGAAATCTTATGCTTCCTTTAGCTTATTTTTGTGAAAAGTGTTCAAATTGGTAAACTGTAGAACTGTCTGTGTGTATAACGTGAAATTGTTTCAAGTATTACAAGGTTCCTTGTATTATTATTATTCATCTTCATACTGTTGATTATCTCTTTCCTTAGAGTTCATCTCTCTAAGTCTTTTTATGTGTTCTTCTTGTCAAGAAAAAGCAAAAAAGTGATGGCTCAGTTGTGACTAGTATTTTTGAAGACAATAGTGATAAATATATTTGAATTACAACCTTATATAATTTTTTCTTCTTGAAACCAACTGTTATTTTATCTGTGTTTAATGCGAATTATAAACGTGAAAGAAAAAACTGTGTCAATCATGATGTGTGTGTGTGTTGGGTTTTTATGCTGCAATTCATCAACAACCACCACACAAACAATTGATGATAATGTTGACAAAATTTTTTTATTTTGTGACGATCAGAGAGAATAGTTTTCTTTCAAGGTTAGTTTGTAACAATCTGATTGGCTTCAAGTGTGATTATTGTTAGAGAATTGTTGAAAACCAGGGAGTACTAGACAGCTGTTTTTTCCTAGTTTGGGTCTCTTCAACAGTGCACACCCATGCCCCCACTGATATTCAACCCAGAAGTTCGAGTTGATGAAGTTCCTGAATTCGATCTTTGATGATGTCATGGGTGCGTACTGCTGAGGAGTACCGACTCGGTCAGTATTAGTGTGTATAATATGTCAAAAATGTATACTTGATCTGTTTTCCATAGAAATCCTATACATACCTATTGGGTATTGCCTATTCCCAAGTGGTTAATTACCTTTTTAAATGGTTAATTAGTCAAATGTAATGAGTTTTCTGAAGCGTTTGAATACTGTAGAAGTTCATGGGGTTAAATAGTGTAGTAGAATTTTAGCTTAAACGGATGATGAAATCCAATATGATTGGTTGTTCCCATCGTTTTCTTTAGGAGTGTGTCCACTTGAACTGAATATTGATTCTCTCATTAACCTGACGCATGACCTTTTTCTCCCATGACCACTTCGTATTGATTGATAAAGTATTTTACAGTTCCAAGAAAACCAGTCACAGTGAAGGTTATCAGGAGAGTTAAAAATTTGGCTGGTGGGGAATTGCTAAATCCCACTTCACTGTGAAGTTACCGCTGAAGCGATAATGTCCAGAAGGACAATCAAAGCTCCCTAATTAAACCATTCAGCTCAGGGGACACAACAATACGAAAAACAAGTTGTGTGTTCTTCTATACGAGTTAAATTCCTTCAATAACTCTCGGAGGAGTGGGAATTAGTATCTTGTATCTCATAAAAGTAACAAATATACACCGAGGAGAACGTTGGATGACATCACTGGCCAGGCCCTCGAGTGGAAACCGAATGTGCAATGGTGTGTTGCGGTTGGTTCGAGGGTGACATGGATGCGATCATGTAGAGAGATGAAAACCTACAGGCAGTTGTGGAGCCAAATACAGAGGACTGCGAAGAACGTGACGAAACGGCTATGTGCAGTTGAAACCCTATGTTTCACTCGTAACTCAAGGGAATAATAATTATAATAATCTCCTAAAGATGAGAATACTATTGAACCTACATTAGCATTGTTCCTTTAAAAACAATTTCCTCTCAGCAGACATTTCAGTTTCTGTCTCATGGTTTATGAATACTCTTCCGTGAATATTCGAGTAGACGTGCTTCAAAGTCACTTTTAGTGCAAACTTGTATTTATGTAATTTGGCGACGGGTAAAACTATGGATTCTTCTAAATTGGAATTACTATTTGAACAACAAATGAAATTAATGGAAATGTTCGTCAACCAACAGACTGGTTCAACATCACCTTCAAGCAATCTGAATCATACCATGCTACCATCTGTCGACGGTATTGTGAATAGTATTTCAAAATTCAATTATGGTCCAGATGGCAATGTCTTTTTTGACACATGGTATCAACGTATGAGGATTTATTCACAGTTGATCTCGCCTCACAAGACGATGCTTGGGAGGTGCGAGTGTTATTACGTAAATTGGGTCCCACAGAATATGAAAGGTACTGCAACCTAATTTTACCCCTAAAACGACGTGACAAGTGTTCCGATGATACAATAAAGCTGCTGTGTGAACATTTTGGAGACCACTCCTCATTATTCAGCATACGTTATCGTTGCCTCAAGCTGACAATGAATGAAAAAAAATTTGATGTTGGTGACCCTATCTATGTCCGCGACTATCGAGCAGGACATAAACCTTGGAATAAAGGTTCCATCGCAGCACGACGTGGTCGAGTTATGTACGACGTAAAAGTTGGTAATGATTTATGGACCCGTCACTACAATCAGTTGCGTCCAAGAAACTCAAATATCCCTACCAGTACACAGTCATCTCTACCTCTGGATATACTCTTAGATACTTTTAACTTACCTACGACTGATAAAACAGAAAAACAAAATTGCGCAGCTCAGACAACTCAAGACAAAGCAGAAGCCGCAAACTCAACAAGCAGACGAAGCAACAGACGTTGACAACAAACTGAACGGTTTCAGATAAACCCCAAGAAAGCACGCTATTAATCATCAATCTTCTCAGAAGGGGAGGTGATATTTATCCACATAATATGTGTGTTTGTTTTTGACAGTCTGTTATATTTTGCTTTGTATATATGGATCGATATTCCATTATAATTGACAATATGTTTTTGTCTACCCACTAACTAAATAAACATGTATGACCTTGTTGTCACATGACATTACAACCAATCATGTTCAGACCGGCTATTTATTGGTTCATGTGTATTAGCCATTTTCATATATACTTTTGTATTAGACCCTTGTTCATTATTGTGCACACACATTTCGTACATACGTACTATTTCACTCACACTCTTGTGTGACATTTATTTTCGTTGTTTGAAAAAAATAGAAGTATCATCGTGAACCTGGTGGTTTTCTGATTTCCGCCGAATACCAGGATGTCCCATGTGAAACTGTTTCAGGAGTTTATTTCGTAATGCTTCAGATATCACTACGCGTTCTCCAAACATCAAGCAATCTTTTACAACACATAAGGAATCACGACGGGCAAACAGTTGTTTTAGGTCGCCACTATATTTAATCTTTGGCCAATTACTGGATACATACTGTGTAGCACGTCGTAAGGTGGCATCGGTGCTTGTAGTTCGCTGGATTTCTGCAAACATTACTGGTAGAGATCGAATAGCATTGTCAATGAGGTTAACTGCATAGTCTTTGGTGGCGATCGATGCAATTACCATATCTTCACTTGATGCAGGATAGTCGCTAATTAACCGAGAGAGAGACGTCGGCTTGACCAAATTCGTTAGTTCGGTTGTATTTAATATCGAAATCGTATCCAAGTAATATTATTGCCCAGCGTTGTAGTCGGTTAGCTGCATGTACAGGGATACCTGATTTAGATCCGAAAATGGAAAGTAACGGTTTATGATCTGTCAGCAAAGTAAATCGGCGGCCGTAGATCATTTTATGGAAACGTCGTACGGCGAAGACTAAAGCTAAGGCTTCTTTTTCAATTTGTGCATATTTCTTCTCTGCCGCAGTTAGTGTTCGAGATGCATGCATTATTGCTTTTTGTGAACCATCTGGGAAAACATGTAAAATGACAGCTCCCACTCCGCTTGCTGAAGCGTCCGCTGCAACTATAATTGGAAGTGTTGGACTATAATGTTTCAGAAGCAATTCAGAAGTTAACATAGACTTTAACTTTTCAAAAGCTGATCTGCAAGCTTCGGACCATTTCCAGGGTGCATTCTTTTCGATTAGTCGATTGAGAGAATGTCTAACATTATGCAGCGCAGGGAGAAATGCCGAGTAATAGCTAATTAATCCCAAGAAAGAGCGTAAAGAAGGCACGTCAGCAGGTGCGGGCATCTCTTTTATAGCACGTATATTGTCAGGATCTGGACGTCTACCCGATGCATCAAATATAAATCCAAGGTATTTGACAGATCTCAAGGAGAACTGACATTTCTCTGAGCGTAGTCGTAGACCGTTATCCTGCATGCGTGACAAGGCAGCTTCTGTTCTGCTGTAAAGTTCGTTTATAGAATTCGCTACGACCAAGATATCATCAAGATAGACGGCAACACCCGGAATACCTGCCAAGAAAGTATCCATCAGTTGTTGGAAAATAGCTGGGGCAGTTTTAACTCCGAAAGGTAATCTGTTGTATTGGAACAAACCGCGATGTGTATTAATGGTAAGGAGTTCTCGGCATTCTGGGGTTACTTCAACTTGTAGATATGCGTCAGCAAGATCCAGTTTTGCAAAATAAGATCCACCATTTAAAACAGTGAATAAATCATCCGGCGTAGGTAAAGGATAGTGGTGCTGTTCTAATGCAGCATTCAACCCAGTAGAGAAATCACCACAAATACGTAGGGACCCATTCGCTTTCTTGACAATGACGATGGGTGCTGCCCATGCCGAGTACGTGACTGGTGCTAATACGCCTTGTTATTGTAGTCTCTCCAATTCTTCGTCAACTTTTGCTACAGACGCATAGGGGACTGGCCCCTTTGGGCGAAAAACCGGTTTTGCGTCTGGTAATACTCGAAAGGTAGCTTGCAACGAGGTACAGTGACCTAATCCGGGTTGAAAAACAGGTGCAAATAGTTTGCATGAATCAGAAAAGGAGTTGGCTGAATTTTTATCCTATGCTATCAGCGAAATCTTGCATATAAAAAATATACATTTGAGGATTATAAAAGCATATAGTTCCTTCTGAAAGTACCCTTAACCATATTAGAGTGAATCACTAAACAAAATATACAGTAAAGCAGAAGAGAAACTGTAAGAATTAAAGTTTTTAAATCGATTGAAGATCTCCATTAAAAGTTTTAGAACATTGATTATTGAATATAGAAGATTATTTTCGAAAAGAATATTCTTTGTTCACTAATCAATCTACTAAAAATATCTTTAACGTTAAAGTTTCATTAATGGCGGATATTGATCAATGCTTAAGTGACAATCAGTTCACGTGATGTTATGTTTCTTTTCAGCTGACAGTGTCTCTAAACAATTCAAAAACTTAAAATTATGAGTTACCCTGAGTTGGGATACATCTATTCCATTATATTTGAATAGCCTACATATTATCCTCCATAAATGAAATAATTAACACGTTTGAAGACCTGTCTATTTTGGCGCGTCTGTGTTGACAGTTTTTCAATCAAAATTACGTGAGAGGCATAAAACTCCTAACGCTCTTTTGAAATTAACATATAACGCTATGACTTATAAGCTATAATTGGATTGAATGTATCGGCCTTCGATGTTATACTTTGAGTAGTTGAAATCTGAGTAAGTTACAGCCATCTTTACATTGATAGTAGAAATTACGGGTTGGCATACTCTCGTTAAATGATACTAGTCGTTTAAATGACAACTTATTACTTTTTGATTATGACTAAACTTCGCTACAACCTGTTTTAAGTAGTGAATTATGATTCGAAACCGACCATGCCCAATTAGTGTTTTTTAGTACTCTGCTACACCATTGTCTTTCTTAGAAGGTACTTAAGGCAATGTGTCGCGTATAGCAGCCTTTATAACTTCCCAGTGACTTTTGGCTTCATGGATTTAACAACGCTTAACTAGTCAATTCTCATACATGCTAGTCACAGTAGACAGCCGTTTATATGCGTTATCATCCTGTTGACATCTATCACATTTGTGCTTTCTATTTTGTTTTATTTGTCCAAGATTCAGTTGATAGGTGGTGTGTGTGTGTATGGAAGAGGGAAGTGGCTTCAAACCCAAAGGTGTTTTCATTAACCCATGACACTGTTCCTTCTACGCCTACGCCATACCTGAACGAAACGTTGAGTCGAGACGAAGGTATATTGTATTCACTTTGATATAAACAACCCAGTCATGGCATTTCCTGCCTGTTTTTAAGAATTCTAATGGCTGAATGTAAGAGCTACGATCTACTGACTGCCTAATCACAAAAAAATGGATTGTTGACTCTTAAGCCTACAAACAATAACTGCTATTTATTTTTCATCTTGATAACAAGATAATATTGTTGTCTCATCATTACCATTATAGTTTTTCCGTAAATAAATCGTGCTTTTATCGGCCTTCTGATGAAATAACCCTGTTCCTCTTTGTCTGTCACTTGTTGAAAATGATAACGTATTTTTAGTATTTTATACGAAAACTTATTGTGCATGAGATTCTTTAGTAGGTCGATTGGGAAGAATTAGAAAACAGAATGTCAGCATGCTAATGAGGTGGTTTAAATTATAAGCTTGACAGGCGGTACCAACTCGTACTGAAGTCCCATCTACACTGTAGACCAACTTACTTATGGTTAAAAGCTATCACTATTTCACGAAAATTGTGCTGGAAAATCCTGTTTGACATGCATTTCTGCCTGATTCCCAATAGTTTCATGATTGATAAGCCTATGGGTGTCTAATTTTTGAGAGGTAACTGGATTAATTAGTACTCGACCAAGTTCAGTAGAATGAGTATTTCGGAAACTATGGCCCAAGTGGCTGAATGGATAACGAGCTTGGTTTTGTAACCTGAAGTTCCCCTCTGCTCACTGTTTTTATTATGCTTTTCTTGTACTTTCTTCTCTTGCTTCGCGTGCTACACGGAATGTGGCGACTTGAACTTCCGCACATTTGTGCAAAGTTCTATGTCGAAAACAGACAGACAGACCTGAAGTTCCATAGCTCAATCATCGGTGGGGCCTTGGGTGTGCACGATTGAAGGGTCCCAAACTAGGGAGGAAATCACAACTAATCAGGACAGCTTAATTCACGCACATCCAAGAGTATATATCGAAGAAATGTTACAGTATTCATAGAAGAACCGTGCCTTACTAATATATTCACATCCTAATGAAGTATAAGATACTGAAAGGGAGAATTCGACATTTCTGCACATTTGAAGTACTCACTTCGTTGAATATTGGTAGTGTACTGATTTTTTCCCACTCAGTCCGTTTCAGAGCCCATCTGTAATTTCTTGGCCAAGATTATATGAATATTCATACGTTAAATTGTACGTGGAAGAGTTTATTTATTTTTCTGCCTAAACAACCAACATTTACACTGTTGTACACTACAAATTGATTTGCAGTCTTATTTGTCCGTCATCAGGTTCGCTTTTATCAATAAACCAGAAGAAACTGATTTTGGCTAAAAAAGCATTTAATCTATTGTGTTCATGTTTTAAATTTCATAGCTGATTGAGTTATTAGAACAAACCAAGATGACATTGTCGTTTTCAGGTGTTTTGTTGTTAATTAAGTGACAAAGCAACCCACTATTTCCTATTGCTTGTCGAAGTATTTTATAATATAAGGGATGAAGAGTGAACCATATCGGGTTTGGTCGTTTACCAATGGGCACAGGTCGATATGACAGTCTTTATCCGATGATGATGTTTCAAGTACAGTTTATTGTGTATTCCGGACATAATGGAGTACTTTTCTGTAGCTCTGTTGCTTCTGATTCTCAAGTCTTATCGAGTGTAGCATTCGCTGTATCTGCTAGGGTGATTTTAGACTAACTTGATATAAAAACAATATTTTTCAGTGACTAGTATTCTATTGCAATGGCTTATAAAACGGTTACTGTCCAATATTTCTGTGTGATTCTGTGACCGTATAGCTGCCTAACGGTGCCGTTGAGGCAACCTTGAGTTTCGGATGTCATTATTGTTGAGTAGAACCACAGATTTCAGCTGTATCTGGAGTATTTCGTGACCAAGCGTCTCTCAAGGAAGTTTTATCCGTTATATAGTAGGAGACAGAGCTCGGTTTCCTGCGTTTAGACTACAACGAGTGGCCTTTGGTCGGAGCACCTAGTTCCTGGGACAGGTCTTTTCTACGTTACAGGCAACAAGCCTAACGTTTATTGCCTTAGTGCTGACTATACTACTCAGGCTGAAGTGGGACTACAATCTGGAACCCAATGATTGAGTTGAGTGCTTAAGCCAAGACACGTGTTTTTGTCCTGCCTACTATAAGTTACTGTTCGTTCCTTAACATCACATTGATATCTAAGACTGTAAATTGTTGACACCAATAAGAATACGAATGTGAATTACATTATAGTTTGTCTGCCTAATAAACTGACCGAAATGATGTAGTTTCAGCTCGCCAAATTACCCTGGGAGAAATATGATTTCTTTAACAGTGACTGTTTAGACAAAGGAGTACGCAATTCATTTCGGCAACTGTATGGTTCATAAATGATATTTAGTATTGGGGATTTGGATTTTGAGGATGATTCACGTCTAATGTCACATAAATTCCAAGACTTACCGATGAAAACCATCAAACTGGTTAAGAGGCAGCAAAGGCAGAACTTCCCATGAACATAGAGAAGACAGAAGTGATGAAGGTAACCAGCCACCGATAACAACAAACAGCACCAATTACTATCAACGGAAGATATTTGATAGAGGTTACTCTGTTCACTTATCTAGGAAGCATCCTTTCAACTACAGGCAGTCGGAACGGATGAAGATGTGAAATCCAGCCAGCCGGAATCGGGAAGTCTTCTGCACTCAGCATAAGGAACAAGGTTCGGATTTTCAACACAAATCTTAAGTGAGTAAGTTCTTCTATACAGGACATAAACTTGCACTACGTATCACGAAAAGGATTTCCAACAGGTTGCAGACTTTCATCAACAGCTGCCGTCTTTGCTGGCTCCATACTGGAGATCAAATTTCTGGTCAGAAAGAATTAGTAACAAGAAACTGTGAGAACAAACCAACCAAGAGCAGATCGAGCATACGCCACTGAGGAGGTCGTCGAATGACACCGCGTGTAATGGAGCCCAATGCTTGAGTGGAATCCCAATGGTAAGCGATGAGTGGGCCGTCAGTATGAGGGTAACAAGGAACAGATCGTGAGAGGAGATGAGAGATTATAGACAGTCATGAGCCTAGCTAAAGAGAATAGTAGAAAATAGAACAAAGTGGAGATGTGTTGTTGAAGCCCCATGTTGAACTCGGAACCCAAGGAAATAATAGTAATAATCTTCTGTATTTTAGCACTTATTTAGCATACTTTATAGCTGCTTCACTCAACGACTATCCACAGTTGTCCTTATAATGATTTTTACGACTGTTAACAAATGTTTCTATGTATTCAAACTCTCGTCGGTAGTTATAATGTGGCATACCCTCCAATTACTTACGAGACTCGGGTAAGATTCTCGACCACTGCACTACTGAACCTTGCTTAGCCTGTAGTAAACTCCGTAAAAAAGGAAGCATGGGCAGGAGAAAAACAACCCCGACCGATAAAAACAACAACACCATCGCTACTGTGAAACTTCAAAGCTTTCAAGCTTACCAACATCAGGTAGCACTAATCCCTATCAACGAGAGGAATTTGAAGCAAGTCACTTATATTTCACTTATCTAGGCAGTATCATTTCAACTACAGTCGAATCATGGATGAGGATGTTAAAATAGGTCAGGATCAGAAAGAAAAGGCAAACCTTTTTCATTCTGAAAGCAGTTTGTAACTCTTCTGCACTCAGCAGATACAACAAAATTCAGATTTCATGACCGATTCGTTAAGTCAGTTCTTTTATGTAGGTGAGCGACTTGGTGTGTCACTAAATGCATTCCCAGCAGGCCACTGCTGACATTCATTAATAGCCACTATCGCTCCATATTGAAGATTAGATGACTAGCCAGAAAAAATAAGCAACAAGGAACTCTTGAAGATCAGCGAACCAATCAAGAACACATTACCCAACAGATAGGCAAAAAATTGGAGATGGACCGAACACACGTTGAGGAGACCATTGATTGACATCGCGCGCCAGGCCCTAGATTGGAGCCCGTGTGGGAAACAAACGAGTTGTGCGTTGGTCGGGGAGTGACATGGGGGATATCGTATAAGGAGAGGGGGTCAGCTGAAGAGGACAAGTCAAAGTGGAAATGTTCCTGTTGAAGCCCTGCGTTCCACTCGGAACCTAGCGGAACAATGCTTGACCACCACTACTACTACTACCGTGTATCAGAACTTTTGGTTACTGTGATAATAGAACAACATCACTACCACAATCCTTCTTGTTTCCTTCCGTATTCCTGTGTATTTAGTACTTAGTATGCAAATTACTTGTTAATTCAAACAAAAAATAGTACGGAATTTCGCAAAGTCTAGCAATGCTTAGTAATGGAATTGGCAGAAGTTAAAATTCATGGGCTAGCCATTGGATCGGGTCCTAGTGGCTGAATGGTATACCAACCAGCTTGCCTTGTAACCAGAAGGTCCTAGGTTCGAACAGTGGCGGTGGGTGTGTACCGATGAAGGGTCCCAAACTTGTACGAAACAGCTGTCCAGTTCTCCTAGCTGGTTTTCTAATGGTTCTCTTACTGATTTCAGCTAGTGATGAAATCCTCCAACCAATCAGACACAATCCCTACAAAACCAATACTTGAAGAAAACGTTTCTACACGCTGAAATTTGCAGCGTAAAATGCTGGACAAGAACCTGCATAGTCCGGTTCCCAACTGACGCATTACTAAACCGCATTTAGCCGACTGTAAGTCCAGCAACGGAAGGAAAGCTGTGTGTGAGGTTAACAACCCCCACCCTCCCTTACACTTCGTGAAAACAACAGCACTATCGCTACTGTGAAACCTCAAAGATCTCAAGCTTGAAGTCCTATGCACCCCTCGAAACGCAAAGAAATAAAAAAACAAGAATAAAGAAATATGTTGAAATACTGTATGCAATCAAAAGAGTTATACGCCTGTAATAAAATGCTTGAGAAATTTGCCTTACTAGTTAATTTTGGTGTACAACAATTTGTCTATTTTCCATTTAACAAATAGTCATAGTAAAGGATTGACAATGGAAAAAACGTTTAACCTTTTTTTTTAACCTAAGGAGCAGGATTAATCACAGCACACGTCAGTTCAGACGAAAAACAAAAACAAGGTAGAGATGCAGTGTAATGATCAAAATATTAGAGTCAAAAAAATAACAGTCATAACAATAATAAAAGAGAAAGATACCAAGTCGAAATAAAATGAATGAGCATTCAATCAAGTACAACAACTACACTTCTAATTTATCAAAGCCAAAAGAAAAGACAAAACAAACAAAGAAAACCTGTACAACTACTCTCTCTCTCTCTTTTTTAGATTTCTCCTCATCATATTTCCTGAAATAATGCAGCAAAAAAATATTTATTTTATTTTTTTTACAATGGAATTACGCAGAGATATGAGAGAACAAAACTAGTAACACATATGAAAGTATGTTTGATCAATGTGATGATATGAACGGAGAAGAAAAGGACTAATTCGACTTGTTATTATTATTATTATTATTGCTGTTATTATTGTTGTTGTTATTGTTCATTGGTCTGATAGACATAAGATGTCGTATCTCAGCGACTGCTGAACAAAATTGACACCAAATATATTGTATTTCACCGTTTTCAAAACTATCCCCACCGAAGTTGTTTACAAATTCTATATTACTAAGCAAACGAGGAGGATTTGCCTTTATATGAAAAAAGGGGAAAACCAATAAAAGGTTAATAAAGCGCAATTGTGTAGGTGTTTAGAATTACATTAACTTCAATACATAGAATGAATTCATTTCATAAAGAACATACAGTGATATAGGGGATTATCCCCTGATGATAACGTTACGAGCACAGTTTACTGCTCACATAAGGTTCAGGTTTATTTTTATATTAGTATCACTGTATCGTATCCTTCGACTTTTATTAGTGATAATATTTTGATATGGTTGTGTTCTCTAAGCTGTAGTATTATGTATCAAGTATTTTTGAAATACAAACTTAGTGAAGTATGGGCGCCAAGAGATGAGCCACACAATAATGACAGATATCATCCAGAAAGCAAGGAAGAAAGCATATTTGTCATGATCACTCAACATTCATTACTTCATGGTAATTTTAGAGAGGGAAGAAAGAGAGAAGCTGCAGCATGCTCGTCATTGATTGAGATTTTTGGCTATATCTGATAACGTTTTGATCCATCGATTCGAACTATCTTCTGGACGCCAACCAAAGAGTCATGATGTACCATTCGATACTAATCTAACAGAATTCTTCTTCGTCCCACGATGCCACGTCAAAGGTTGACCACCTCTTCGCTTTTTCCATCCAGTCCGAGGTCTAGAGAACGGAGACCACGATTAAATCGCATGATATTTGTAGCACATGTCCAAGCCCCTGAAGCCGGTGTTTCCAGGAGACGACACTCAATGAATGTTGATACCTATCATGTCTAAACACACGATGCAAGACCTCAGAACTATTCACACAAGCAATTCTACAGAGAAAGCCATGATCGAATGCGCAGAGTTGCCTAACATTCTCAGCTCGGAGAGACTAGGTTTCATAGGCTCAGGGAAAGACTGTGCACATCGAAACATTGTAAACCCAACCTATGATGACCAGGATGACGGCGTCAAAGGTGGTTTCAAACTGGTGCATGCCATCCTAACTTCCAATATACGATTAGAGACCTCGTACGTCACACCTCCGCCAAACCTCACACAACTACTTAGATACACGAACTTGTCAACAACTTCAAGCAGTTCACCTTTATCTACCGACATTTACCCTTATACAACTACAGCTGCTCCCCACACTCTTATTTGTTACTGCACTTATTACCATTGCTGAGTTATTCTCTGAGCTAATCAGCTCTCTGGGGAAAATTTCTATGTTCTGATAACCTACTGGGTTGACCCAACATAGCTGACCTCACAGTCACTGCAAGGTATTTTGTAAATCATATTAATTTGTCTGATTGTATCTATAGGGTCCTTTAACCTACAGAACTGGCGCCTGGGTAAGCTTTTAGCTTCCAATACCAACCTGATACATATTTTACTAAGAAAACTACGTAAGGTCTCCGATGTTATCTCCTTATAATGGTCAAACTGTAGACCTTTCACATTCTATCTTACTTATGTTATGGTCAGTAGTTTCACCACTATTTTTACTTTTAATATGCATTTTCTAAATTTTGTTATAATGATGTGATGAAACAATTTCCATGATTGGCCTTCAGTGTTTTAATAGTTCCTGTGGGAACCATGGAAGCTACTAAAGCCAACAAGACAAATAATTTTCACTACAGATTGTAAAGATTAGTCAATTTATTGCTGGCTAGTTTAGGACAGATAAATAATTAGTACCATCACCATCCATAGGTTGTTACCAATTCAAAGTCGTATTCAAACTTAGACATAAAAACCTGGCTTTGTAGACATGTCATTTCAGTACATGTGTACACTTATTCACTAAGCAGTCACGCATGGTCTTGGTTCGATTCCCAGCAAACACACTACCAAACTTCACTTAACTGTCAGTAAGCCCGGTAAAAAAGAGTTCGTTGTGGCTAAGAATGCCACCCCGCAAAATAAAAGATCACTGATGTTGAAACTTCAAAGAAGCACAAGCTTCAGTCCCTCTCTACATTCCACTAATAACGTGAAGGAATGAAGAAAACAAGTGACAGGATTAGTGAAAATGACATTATGCGACACTAACTTACCTGTATTATTAAATAAATAAGAACAGGCAGGAGATCATCTGCGCATGGTATTGATGTTGGGTGGGCCAATTGTAAGGCAGCTAGAATATGATTCATAACACGTTTAAGGCAACGAAATTTATCGAACGGTGTCTATGAGAAAACAAAGAAAGTAGTTCAATAGTATATCTCAATTAGTAAACAATTTAAAATAAAAAATTGAAAAAAAATGTTACACACTGACATCATTAAATAATTAATTTTTTAGGAGTTGATCACGGATTGATATCAATAAGAGAACCATTGAAAACAACAAGGAATACTGGACAGTTGTTTCATCCTAGTTTGGGCAATACGCACCCACCACAGTAGGGTTCGAACCCAGGACATTCCAGCTGGATCGTATGCTATTCAGCCACTGGGACCCGATTCAATGGCTAGTGCATGAATTCTAACTTCTACCGATTCGTGATTTTAGCACGATCACCAACCAATGTAGTCGGTGGGATCTCCATCCTCACACTTGACTAGCTGGACCTCACTGGTCACGACTTCTCGCTAGAACTCCAGGAAACTCAGTCCTGTAGGTAGTTACTAGCGAGCATCAGACTAATTTTCTATAGTTTAGTTTGTAAGGGTTAGTTTTTTTTTACCAGTTGATCACAGGCCATTGAACCGGGTCCCAGTGGCTGAATGATATACGAGCTAGCTTGCCTTGTAACCGAAAGGTACTGGGTTCGAACCCTGTCAGTGGGTGCGTACTAATGATGATTATTCCCGAAATAGGGTGAAACTGCTGTCCAGTATTCCATGTTGGCTTCCAATGGTTCTCTAACTGATATCAATCCGTGATCAACTCGTAAAAACAAAACTAATCCTTAGAAACCAACTATAGAAAAACATAATTAATTAATTATAAAAACAATTTTTCACATTTTTTGGATTAATTAACTCGGAGATTCTACACCGAATTGTATTATAATAGCATTAGCTGACATCAAATTGTTTTTAGATTACATCATAACTACCTTATGACTTACATATTAATTTGTTTATTAGATATATCACACAGTGAAACAGTATTATTTACCGGATGACATTTCGAACACGATTTATTCCTGTTCATAATCATTGCATCAATTATAATCACACGACTTCGAAACTTGAGTTTTAAAGTTTTTATATTCTATATCGTTGGTGCTGTCATTATCCTATGCATGTCGTCATTAATATTATTATTATCACTATCACTACCTTTATTATTTTTATTTTACATTTTCCTAAAGACTTCCTGATTAATTTATCTATTATTATTATTATTGTATCCTTTAGTTCCTAGAGGAACATAGGGCTTCAGCTGCGCACCTCCATTGACTTCGGTTTTCTGACAACTTTTTCACCCTGCTCCAGGTCTGTCCACATGCTTTCATCTCCTCCTCGCATGACCTCCTCCAAGTCACCCTTGGACGACCAACTCGCCGCCTCCCTTTCGGGTTCCACTCGAGGGCTTGTCTAGTGATGTCACTTGATGGTTTCCTCAGCGTATGGCCAATCCATCTCCATTTCTTTCTGCCTATTTGTTTCACAATCGGTTCCTGATTGGTTCGCTCCCAGAGATCCCTGTTGCTGATCTTTTCTGGCCATCTGATCTTGAGTATTGAGCGGAGACAGTTGTTAATGAAGGTTTGAAGTTTGTTTGAGATGCTCTTTATGACTCGCCAAGTCTCTGATCCGTATAGTAGCACTGACTTCACATTGGAGTTGAAAATCCGGATCTTATTTTTGATGCTGATTGCTGTTGACCTCCACACAGATTTGAGAGTAATGAAAGCTTGTCTTGCTTTTCCGATTCTGGCTTTGATGTCCTCGTCAGTTCCGCCTGTAGTTGAGACGATGCTTCCCAGGTAGGTGAAGGAGGTTGTTTCTTTCAGGTTCTTCCCATTTATGCTTATTGTGGTCTGTTGGTGTTGTTGATGTTGGCTAGGAATCTTCATCATCTCTGTTTTATCTATGTTCACGTGAAGTCCTATCTTTGATGCTTCTTCTGCCAACTTGTTACTTTTCACTTGCATATCTTCCAGTTTATGGGAAATCAGACATATATCATCGGCGAAATCCAGATCCTCCAAGTCTTTTGTGTCAGTCCATTTTATGCCTGTTCCCTCGTTGGTTGCCGTTGTCTGTCGCATTATCCAATCAATTGCAATCAGGAAGATCATTGGTGATAGTAGACAGCCTTGCCTCACTCCCGTCCTCACTTCGAAGGCTTCCGTAAGTTTCCCGTTGTGGATTACTTGGCATGCAGCATTGTCGTATAACTGTTGGATGAGGTGTATAATTGTCGATGGGACCCCGTAGTAGCGAAGTAGTTTCCAAATGACCTCTCGATCGACGCTGTCGAAGGCCTTTTCAAAGTCGATGAAGTTGAGATAGAGAGGTGACTGCCATTCCAAGCTTTGTTCAATGATGATCCGTAGAGTGGCGATTTGATCAATACATGATTTGTTTCTCCTGAATCCAGCCTGTTCCGGACGAAGTTTTTCATCTAGGGCTTGTTTGATTCTCTCCAGGATGATGCGACTTAGTATCTTGCTTGGAATGGACAGAAGCATAATTCCACGCCAGTTTTTACATTGACTTAAGTCTCCTTTCTTTGGAAGTTTGAATAAGTAACTGTTCTTCCAATCCTCGGGTACTTTGCCCTCTTTCCACACCTTCTCCAGTAGTGGTGTCATCAAGTCCGCTGTTGTCTCTGGGTCTATTTTCAAAGCCTCTGCTGGGATTCCATCTGGTCCCGGTGTTTTCCCAGCTTTAAGCATCTTGATTGCATTCAGGACTTCTGATTTCGTCGGGGGGTCAGTGTTCACTGGTAGTTCTGCTTCCGTTGTTGGTATTGCTGGACGTGTTGTAGGTGGCGGACGATTTAGAAGTCTTTTGAAGTGTTCAACCCAGTGCTTTCTCTGTTCCACCTCTTTGGTGATTGACTTTCCATTGTCGTCCTTTATTGGCTTAATCTGTGTCGAACGTTTGCCCGAAAGGTTCCTAGTTGTTTGGTAGAGTGTGGCGAGGTCTCCTTTGCCTGCAGCTTGTTCTGCTTCGTTTGCCATGGTTTCATAATATTTTCTTTTGTCTTCCCTGGCACTTTTCTTCACTCTTTTGTTCAGTGTATTGTAGCTTGCATTCAGCTCCTGTTTTTGTTGCTCGTCAGTGCACTGGATAATCTTTTGCTTCACTGTCCTTCTCTCTTCTATTAGTTTCCAAGTGTCCGTAGTGAGCCACTGTTTGTCCTGTCTCTTTTTTCTGCCTAGAATTTCTATGCAGGTTTGGCTCCACACCGTTTTCAAGTTGTTCCAGTGCTTTTCAACGCCGACCTCTTCGCTAGTGTTGATTTGTGTCTCGGCTTTGTCCTTTATGCTTGCAATGAAGATGTCCTTTGTAGCCTGGTCCTTCAGCTTTTGAGTGTTGAACTTGGCTTGTGGTCTATCTGCAGCTCCTGATTCCCTGAAAGCTTTTAATTTGATTTGGATTGTCCCTTGTACGAGATAGTGGTCTGAGCCAACGTCTGCTCCTCTTCTTGCTTTTGTGTCCAGTAGGCTGCGCCTCCACTTCCTTGAGATTGAGATGAAGTCGATTTGGTTTTTGGTTTGCCCGTCTGGTGACACCCATGTAGCCTTGTGGATATCTTTGTGCTTGTATACACTGCCACCAATCACCAGTTCGTTGAAGGCGCAGAAGTCGGCGAAGAGTTCTCCGTTTTCATTCATTTCTCCTAGAGCTTCTCTACCCATGATGAGTTCCCTTCCCGTATTGTCTGGTCCCAGTTTGGCGTTCATGTCTCCCATTAGTATTTTCATGTCGCCAGCTGGAGTATTGTCCATTGTTGCCTGTAGTTGCCTGTAGAATTCTTCTTTCTTCTCGAGGTCTGCGTTGTTTGTGGGTGCATCTAGGTAATTATTAAGTTTCAAAGCTTCTGATATATGCCTCACTTCCTGTCTTAGATTTTCCTTGGTACTACTTAGTTTTTGTGCCCTATTACTTAAACATTTCACCAGTCCTATTTTAACTGACATAAGATGGAATGATCGAAAATCCAAATATCGATTTGAACGTGTGAATGGAGGGAGAGATTGATGACGGAAACCTTTTTTATCGAATCAACTGAATAAAATACGTGTAATAGGAATGATTCAATACCAGTCCAGTGGAAAATTCTACTATCACTACGACAAATAGTAGAGGACACATAAAACTGTAAGACTCAACTTCCGAAGTCGTGTTATTATAATTGATATGATTATGAACAGCAATAAATTGTGTTCGAAACATCATTCAGTAAATACTCATGTGATGAGAGCTGTCTGCTAGTCAAAATTGGTAGGCAGCAATTTATGTCAATGTTTACGTCCCGAATCGGAGTCATGAAAAAAAAACAAGGCCTAACCTAGAGGAATTCAACAACCAATCACAGCAGACTTAGCGTGGGCGGATACGATTAGCATATATATATCAACGGAAAACAACCAATCAGAAGACGTTGCTTCTCTGCTAACAATAATGTATATAAAAATCTACAAATATCTGTTGATTTTCTTAATAAAGAATCTGTTATCTGGCCCTTGCCTTCTGTCTTTACGCCAATACTGTCTCACTGTGTGATATATCTAATAAAGAAATGAATATTGAGTTACATACTACCACAGTGCTAAAGTTCCACACATATATCAATACGTTATGACTTGAAGAAAGAAAATACTGCGAAAGCCATCGTGGAGTTCATTATTCTAAAAACCATTCCCAACATTTATTAAGAATCAGCTAAAATAGTAATGTAACAAATGACCGACTACTGTAGAGTATACTTTCTTTTTAACAAACAGTAGGATGTATCAATAAATACACCGAATTCTGTGAGTTACATGCCGAAACAATCTTCAGTATCCATAATGGGGTCAAAAATAAGACTATCTCGCCGTGATGTATTTAAAGAAATTAAAAACTACAGTAACGAAATCATATGTTCCCACAAATATCCGCATATATATACTTCACTTTCTTTTAAGGAACTCTGGTTTATGTAAACTGAAGCAAGATTTGAAGACCATCAGATTTCTAATATTCAGTGTCTTCAAATTGGGATCATTTTTAAATATCTA